CAGTCCCCTATGCACCTCCCTTCCTCATTCTGGTCCCTCTCTCTCCCCCTCCCCTGGTTAATAGTTGTCTATTTTTTTGTGTGTGTGCATTTTATTGTTATTATTTTTCCCCTGATGCCTTATTTGGTTCCCCTATATTCATTCTATAAGCAAAAACATCTGATATTTTTCTTTTTCCTTCTGACTTATTTCACCGAGCATAATCCCTTCTGGCGCCATCCATGTTGCTGTGAATGGCATGAGTTTATCTTTTTTGATTGCTGAATAATATTACATTGCATATATATACCACATCTTCTTGTTCTAGTTATCTTTTTGGGGGCATTTGGATTGTTTCCAAGTCTTACCTATTACAAATAGTGCAGCAATAAACATAGGAGTACAGGTGTTCTTTTGAATTTTGTGTTTTTGTGTCCTTTGGGTAGATCCCTAGGAGTGGAATTATTGGCTCATATGGAAGCTCCATTTTTAGTAGACTGAGGAACCTCCACACAGCTCTCCATAGTGGTTGGACCAATTTGCACTCCCACCAGCAGTGTAGGAGAGTTCCTTTTTCACCACATCCTCGCCAACATTTGTTGTTGCTAGTTTTTATGACATGTGCCATTCTTACTGGTATAAGGTGGTATCTCGTTGTGGTTTTGATTTGGATTTCCCTGGTTATAAAGGATGTTGAACATTTTTTCATATGCCTGTTGGCCATTTGCATTTCCTCTTCGGAGAAGTGTCTTAAGTTCTTCTGCCCATTTCTTGACTGGGTTGTTTGTTTTTTTGAGTCGTGTAAGTTCTTTGTATATCTTTGTGATCGTCCCTTATCAGTTGTATGGAGTGTAAATATTTTTTTCCAATCAGTAGGGAGTTTCTTAATTTTTGTTAATGTCTTTTTTGCTGTACAGAAGCTTTTCAGTTTGATGTAATCCAAGGTGTTTATCTTTTTCTTCACTTTCTTTGCTTTGGGGGATGGGTCTTTAAAGATGTTACTGAGATGTATGTCTTGTAGTGTTTTACCTATATTATCTTCTATATATTTTATGGTTTCAGGTCTTATGTTCAGATCTTTTATCTATTTTGAGTTGATTTTTGGTGCATGGTGTGAGGTAGAGGTCTACTTTCATTCTTTTGCTTATGTTGGTCCAGTTTTCCCAGCACTATTTATTGAACAAAGACTGCTTTTAAAAGCTCACTTGCTTGCTGCAGATTACTATTCTTTATCAGAAAAAAAGAGGAGGGGGAATATATCTACATCATTACTTGTAGAAACATAGAATATTTCTAAAGAGGAGAATTGGACAGCTGGGGACATGGATAGGAGGGAGACTTATTTTTGTGTATCTTTTTGTACCTTTTGACTTTTAAAAAGTATATATATTATACATATATACACCATATTAAATATAAATATATGTACACACTACATATGCACAGACATATATAATTAAAATTGTTTTAAAAATTTACTAGAAGTATAAAAGGGGTGGAAAGGAAAGGTATCTTAGGAAGCAGAAACAGTATTCTTGGCAGAGTCAGGGCAGCCCTAGTTTTAAATCCCAATTCTTTCACTAGCTGTGTGATGTTGGGTAACTTGCTGAATCTCTGGCCTCTTCTATAAAAACCCTTGTGGGGGGCCTCCCCGGTGGCCCAGCGGTTGAACGCTGGGTTGCGAAGCTGCCCGCAGCCTCTGCAGTGCTGGTTCGATCCCCGGCTGCTCCCCGGCCACCAGAGGAGGGTCCCGCATGGCGCGCAGACCTCTCCTGCCGCCCGCTGCTCCCCTCAGCAGTGTACTTCGGTCCTTCTGCCTGCTCTGCTCCCAGCTCTGGCTCTGGTGAATTCTCTCACCCTCCCGTGCTTCTGACTGTACCCAGTGCATTTATAAACAAAACAAACAAAAAATAAATAAATAAAACATGCCTCTATTAAAAAAAAAAAAAAAAAACCTTGTGGGGATGTTGTGTAGATTATATGGAAAATATTAGCTATAAAGCACATTTTTCAATAAAAGCATATATTAGCAAGTCAGTAATTTGTAGTCATTATTTTATAGTAGGTGAAATCCTTTCTGTTTTCAAGGAGTTTTAAGGATGCTATGCAGAGCAAGAACTTGGGATGTGGTTCAGTGTCACTCCTTGTGCTTGTAACAGCCCTACACAGGGTGTTGGCCCTCGTTAGATCAGTAGGAAGCCCACAACTTGCCCAAAGTCACCCCAGGTAGCATGGTCCCACATGGTCCCACATGGTCCCACATGGTCCCACAGTACCAAGTGATTAAATGTTGGCAATGCTTACTGGTCTTTGATTCCTCACAAGAGCCATATCAAATGAACAGACACTTTTTTTTAGGTGATAAATAGCAAAAAAGACAAGATCCACAGAACATCTACATAAAATATCTAGTACTTCATCTTTTTTTGTTTGTTTCTTTCAGAATCTCATTGATAACATTACACAAAAATTATTGGTGTGTTATAAAATTACCAACTATAACCAAATACAATTTCATTTGTTTCCTTGCCTACATAGGTTATATTATTTGAAATGTTTAGCAGATCTCTTACTATATGAATGAATATAGTAAGAGCAAATATGAATCTGACTGATTATAATTCTATTGGTGAATAACTCCAGGTATTTTTCCTTTATTTCAGTACCATTTAAAAAACATTTTATGATTGGAGTTTTGGTAAACAGAAGATGGTGGTTACAATGATTCTTCATGCATACACATATCCAAACAAAATTCTTTACATTGAAAATTTTTATAATTGCTAGTGTCATGTGTTTTGTAGCATGAAATAAATCTAAATGTACATACTTTTTTGGGTGTCATTCCTCTTTATGGATGACTATCCCTTTATGAAATTGTTAGATTAATACCAGCTGCAATTTGTTTTCAACTCTACATTTGATGATGGCCGAGAAAGAGGACTAGATCAGTAACATTTTGTAATGACTGCTGTGATTCCATAAACTGTATTCAGATAGAGCTGGTGAAAAAAAGAAATGATGCTTCAGCATTTTAAGGATGGAAGAATAGTGACTCAGTGAGGCAAAACTAAGTACTACACCTGGATACACTACTTGATTATAAAAGATTTCTGAAAGGACACTTATTTCTGTATATCTGGATTGAGAGTCAAATCACTGAGCATCTGCTGTGAGCTAGATAACTTTTCTGACCTATACTCAATATCTTTTAAATTGACATACCAAATATGCTAGCTCATGGGAAAACTGCAAGCACTGATTTCTTTGATATGTTATGCCCTTTAAAAGTGTCAACCTTGAATTGTTGCTGTTTTTTTTTTTTTATCTGATAGCTATCAGTTACATTAATGTAGACTGTGTCACGACTTTAGGTAAAATGATAGGCCACAGAGGAGAAATATTAATGCAAAAAAGACCTCAGATATTTTATATTTCGTAAGTAGATTCTGGTTGGTACTTTTCTTTTAATGCATTTTCTACCAGTTTTCCCGATTTTGAAAAATGGAAGAAAGCAAGCTGCCATTGTGTAAGTCTTGCTTCCAAGGAGTTAATGTCACTAATACTGAGAATGTGCAAGCCCCCAACACTGTTCTCTTGGTATGCTGAATAGTTTTCCTGTCTCAACAGTTCCTTCCACCAACAATTTAATAATCTTGACGATCCAAAACATTATTTTTTCTGATTGAGATTTATGAAAGGGTTAAGTATATACTGTTACCTACACTATCATGTGATTAATCCTGACACATTAGATGTAACTTGAAGTTCATTCAATTTGAAGCTCATTTCAATGGCCTATTATTAAAGCAAAAGCTGACCTGAAATTATAAAAGAATGAATAATCTGTTTTCTATTATCTTTTGAAATTATAAAATGACACAGAAACATTAATTCAAAAGGGCACCTGCACCCCTGTGTTTATAGCAGTACTATTTACAATAGCTAGGCTATGGGAATAACCCAAATGCCCAAAAATAGATGACAGGATCAAGAAGATGTGGTACATATACACAATGGAATATTACTCAGCAATCAAAAAAGAGAAACTCATGCCATTCGCAGCAACATGGATGGAGCTAGAAGGAATTATGCTAAGTGAAATAACCCAGAAGGAAAAAGAAAAATATCGGATGGTTTCACTGATAGCAGGAATATAGGGGAACCAAATAAGACATCAGTGTAAAAAATATAGTAACAGTACAAAACCCAACAAAGCAAAAACAGACAATTACAAATCAGACATCTTGCAGGGGAGGAGGCAGGAGAGGGATCAGAAGGAGGGAGGGAGGAGCTCAGGGGACTGAGGTGATGGTGCACAGGTGCATAGGGGAGGGAAATTCTATGGGGACTACACCTGAGGGGTGGCGGGAAGAAAATATTGTTTAAAAATGAACAGTGATGTAAAAAAATAAAAATTAATATAAAAATAAATGTAAAAATATAAAAAAAATTATTTACATATAAATAAAATTTAAATAAATAAAAAATTAAAAAAGAAAAAAAATTACAGGATTCTATCAGTGTTCTGATTTATGGCTTCCCCCTACCCCAAAGTGGAGTATATACACTTTTACTTTTTCAATAAAGTTAGCTGAAAATACTTTTTCTGGAAAAAAAAAATGTTCTGCATTCGCCACAATCCAAAAGCGGAGAAGGGGAGCCGCTTTCCCTGACCACCTTCCTAGAGGGTCACCTTCCTCCACCAGACCCCCCAAGCCCTCCACGCCCAGCCGCGCCCCGGCCGGCGCCCGCCTCGCTTCTCCGGCTCCCCGGCACCCCCGGCCACTCCCTCCGCCCATTCCCCGCCCCCTCGGGAAGCCCCGCCCCTCTGGAAGCCCCGCCCACCCAGCTCTGCAACCCAACTCCTCTCCTTCCTGCGCTTTCCCCGCCCACCAACCCCCGTGATTGCCTCCGATTGGATAAACTGGCAGAGCCGCGACCGGGATGCAGCACAGTTTCATCCTGATTGGCTGAAGGGTAACTGGGCCGCTCGTGATTGGCTGGGAAGAGGCGCCAGCAAGTGTGCCTGCGCTCCCGGGTGTGTGGACGCCGCTTTGTTGCCCGCGGGGGGTGGCGGTGGAAGTTGAGGGGTCGGCACTAGCGCTGCGCCGGACCCGCGTCCGCAGCCGTCGCGCTCAGTCCGCCCGGTGGCCTCTAACGTGGGCGTCGCGCCGGCAGCAGCCATGAGCGGCGGCGTGTACGGGGGAGGTGAGTGTGCGCGGCCGCGCCGGCGAGCGCGCCTTTCAGCGCGTGGGGCTGGTAACCGCCGCCCCCAGCTCTCCGCGCCCCGCGGGCCCTTCCGGGGTCCCCCCCGGGTCCCCGGCCTCCCGCCCCGCCCCCGCCCCGCGCTCTGCCCGCCCCGGAGCCCCCCGGGCTCGTCTGTGTCGCGGGCGGTCGGAGTCACCCCTCCCCGCGGCCCCTTCCAGCCTCGGCCCCGCCGCGCGGGTTTCGGGGCGCCCGCCGCCTCGGAGCTGGGCGCACGGGCCCGTCCGCGGGGGCTGCTCGCCGAGCCCCGGCTTTAGCGACCGGCTGCGGGGTCCGTGTCTGCTAGTGGCTCCGCGACTCGTGCTGTCGGGGCGCGCGCGCGCTCTGACTCGGGGGTCCCGGCAGTTTGCAGGCGGGGACTGGGGTGTCGCCGCGGGTGGCTGAGCGAGCCTCGAGGGGTGGGGCTCATGGGGAGGCGGCGGGCGCTCGGGACGCGGCCGCCTCGCCGCCCCGGCTGCCCCCACCTCCCCGCGGCTCCTGCCTGGTCGCGGCCGGCGCGTACCCCAGAGTTACCCGTGGGCGGGCGGCTCGGGGTTACTTCAGAGACGCTTGTCATTTCGGGAGGCTCCCCTGCGGGAGGGTCTGGTGTGGCAGAGGGCCGTGGACCTGGGAGTTATAAAAAACTCCCCATTTATTTAGCACTTGGACTTTTTTTTTAAGATTGATTTATTTATGCGTACAAGAACTGGGGTACAGGCCAGAGGTGCGGGGGGTGAGAGGATTCACCAGAGACAGAGTGGGGAGCAGAACAGGTGGATCTACTGAAATACACTGCTGAGGGGAGCAGCCCGAGAGCCAGGAGAGGTCTGCTGCACCATGTGGGTAGCTCCCTGGCCGGGGATCCAACTCCTGCTGCAGTGGCTGCCAGTAGCTTCATAGTGCTGTGCTTAACCCATGTGGGTTCCTCTCTGGCTGGCCGGGGATAGAACCCTCGATGCAGAGGCTGCGGAATGCTTTGATACACCAGGGAGGCCCAGTAAGCTTTATCCTTAATTCCCTGCTGACATAACAATTACTGGGAACAATTTCTATATTACTTTCTCTTTTTTTTTTTGAAGATTTATTTTTATTTATGCATACAAGAACTGGGGTACAGGCCAGAGGTGCGGAGAGTGAGAAGATTCACCAGAGACAGAGTGGGGAACAGAACAGGCAGACTGACCGAAGTACAGTGCTGAGGGGAGCAGCAGGCTAGACAGGAGAGGTCTGCTGCACCATGTGGGTAGCTCCCTGACCAGGAATCGAACTGTGCTGCAGTGGCTGCGGATAGCTCCATAGGTTGCATCTTAACCCCTTGCGCCACCAGGGAGGCCACTTTGACCTTATTTAGCTCCGTCTGTATACTTACCTTTCCAGTGTCAGGCCCCTCACCCTCATTGGTGGAATGACAGTTCCTACCTGGCAGGTGGTTGTGAAGTTTAAGGGAAGTACTGCTGCACTTTACCTTTCAATTGGGGGGGTCCATGGATCAGCAATTGTCAGCATCGCCTACATGATTTTTAAAAATGCAGAATCCCCAGCTCCACTCTAAATCTACTGAATCAAGAGCCCCAGTTTTTACAAGGTGCCTAGATGAAGCACTGATGATTCATGTTTTGTGGTGTTTCATGAATTGGAGACCCCGGAGACAAATCCAGTGTTGCTTTTGCTATTTTGTCTGGTAAGGATGCTGTTTCTGAAGAGGATGCCATTTGCCAAGTGGGAGATAAAAATAAGGTTTTCCAAAGTTTTTAGTAGTTTTGGGAATGTAGTTTTAGAGTCTCCCCCTTTTTAAAAAAGATTTCTTTATTTATGCATACAAGAACTGGGGTACAGGCCATAGTCGTGGGGGCCGGTGAGAGGATTCACCAGAGACAGAGTGGGGAACAGAACAGGCAGACTGACTGAAATACACTGCTGAGGGGAGCAGCAGGGCGAGTCAGAGAGGTCTGCTGTGCCATGTGGGTACCTCCCTGGTTGGGGATCGAACTTGTGCTGCAGTGGCTGCAGATAGCTTCATCGATTGCTTCTTTATCCCCTTTGTGCCACCAGGAAGGGCCCTAGATCCCTTCTGAGGTCATATTATGACACTTGGGCTCCTCCCTCCCTTTTTTGTCCTTGGTTTCTCAACTATAAGATTATAGTCCATAGTTTCCCATGTTCACTTTGGAGAAACCTAGTGGATCTGCATCAGTTACTTCTCTATCTGAATGAAGTTCTGACAAAAAATTGAATCTGTGTGTCTGCCTCATAGAGCTACCTTTAGGTTTACTGATACAAATAGAAACTGTCCACTGAATGTTTACTTACAAGTCATTGTTTAATATGACTAGGATAAAAATGAACATAGTGGTGCTAGCAGCTAGCATTTATACTGTGTGCTTTTTCATGCACTGCATTTAATACATGTATTCACTCATTTAATCCACAATAACTATGAGATTGGTGTAAATTCTATCGCCATTTTATTGAAGAAGAAAATAAGGTATAGGAAAGATTAAGTAGCCAACCCAAAGTTACTTAACTTCCTAGTAAGTGGAGAGCAAGGATCTTTAAGATGAAGAAAAGGTAAAACTCCCATTAAAAAAAAAGTTTTTCGGTTATTTCTCCAGTCATATTTCAAATAGGTAATACAGCATATTCATGTGTGGTTTAAGTATTCAGAATACAAATCCTGTTTCTCATTTGCTCTGTCAGTGAAAATGTTTCAAAGCCTTCATATATAAAATATATAAAATAGGGCCTCCCCTGGTGGCGCAGCGGTTGAGCGCTGGGCTGTGAAGCTGCCCACAGCCTCTGCAGCACTGGTTGGATTCCCGGTCCCCAGCGAGGGTCCCACATGGTGCCCAGACCTCTCCTGCCACCCACTGCTCCCCTCAGCAGTGTATTTCATCAGTCTGCCTGTTCTGCTCTCCGCTCTCTCTCTGGTGAATTCTCTCACCCTCCCATGCTTCTGACTGTACCCAGTGCTTGTATAAATAAATAAATAAATCTTTTTTAAAAATAATAAAATATATAAAATACTTTAAAACTCATAAAAGTAAGTGTATAATTTTGTGTTTGAGCTACCTCTGTATATCCAGTACATATAGGGGGTCACATTTACCAAAGGGTTTACTGTGAAAGGCAACCAAACCTTTCACCTAAATTTTGTGTATTAATTTTTTAAATTAATAAACAATTTTTAACTTGCTTATGAAATAGTCTTAACTTTAAAATTTATAGCTGTTAGTCTAATAATTATTTCTGTCCATATCTGACAATGATCCTTTATCTTTTGACAAAATGCATTAATTCATGCACATTTCTGTACTTGCTAGCTGGTTTCTGGACCTACTCATCCTTTCATTTCATTTTTTTTTTTTTAAGATTTATTTATTTATGCATACAAGAACTGGGGTATAGGCCAGAGGTGCAGGAGGTGAGAGGATTCACTGGAGACAGAGTAGGGAGCAGAACAGGCAAATAGACTGAAGTATATGCTGAGGGGAGCAGTGGGCGAGTCAGGAGAGGTCTGCTGCGCCTCATCCTTTCATTTCTCATTCATGGTACTCCTCTATATCAAACTCCTTTTTATAATAAAAACAGACAGGTGCACTGTTGGACCAGCTTTGTTAAAGTTAGTTTTATCACTCCTGCCCAATCTCTAACCTAAAAATCATCTTGGCACTCGTGTCCAAACTTCTGAAATCATTAGCCTTCAGTATCACATTGCAGTGTTTTAAGACTAGGTTAGAAAATTGCTGCCGTTTCTCCCGTTTCCTCAGAAGAATCATGTCAGCCTTGAATTTGAAAGCAATTTGCTCTGGAAAAAAAACATCCAAAGCCTCAAAAGAGCAAGGACAGCCAAATTCACTAGAAAGTGCATCCTAATTTTTAAATATCCAGACCTCTGCAATTAAGATGTTAAGCCTACTCTCTCCCTTTGCTATTTTATTTTGGGCGCGTTGATGATTGGTTTTAAACAGTACAAGGTACAGGAAATGTACATATCTCCTTTAATTCTTGGGGAAAAAAGGGAAATGAGCAGATGCAAAATTCTAACTATCAAGAATCTTACTCAAATCAAAACTCCGCTGTTCAGTTTCCTTACTAATTGAAACAGGAAAATAACTTGATAGGTATTTTGTTGTTGTTGTTTCATGAAATGATTATGGTTTTTTTTGAGTGCTTGCTATTCTAGGTATAGCCTCTACGTTCAAGAAGCTCGGTCTTGTAGGCAAATCAGTCATCTAAACAGACCATACTTCATTGATTTGAGTTGTTCATTCCCCCACACCTATGCATTTAAAGAACTGAAGTTGAAGTTTGTCTAATGTTGATGGCACGGCAGAATTTAATTTACAGCATTTTTTTTTTTCTTGGTGCATGATAATAATGGTGCATCTCATAGTTTATAGTGCCTTCAGGTTGATGAGAAATGGTAACTAATGCAATAAGATACTCAGTAATGACAATATATAGAAGGTACAAAGGTAACATAGACAAGAATGTTCTTAAGTCAGTGTGGGGGAGTCAAGAGTTTACAAGAGAGTGGAAGGGACAGCATATGCAAAGGTTAACAGAGTACATGGTGTACATGAAATGGGAAGTGAGATTGTTGCCAGATTGTGCTAGGCCTTGAATATTTAGTGAGTGGGATGATTTGAATTTTATCTTGAAGATCATGAGATACCACTAAAGGGGCCTCCTCTTTTCTTTTCATTGAAGGATTTATGTATCAAAATGTTTAGAATTACAATTTTTTATTAAAGATTTATTTATTTATACAAGAACCTGGGTACAGGCCAGATGTGCGGGAGGGTGAGAGGATTCACCAGAGACAAGAGCGGGGGACAGAACAGGCAGACTGACTGAAATGCACTGCTGAGGGGAGCAGTGGGCAAGACAGGAGAGGTCTGCTGAGCCATGTGGGTCACCTCTGGGGATCGGGAATCTAACTCTTGTTTTAATAGTTGCGGATAGCTTCATCATGCTGATGGTTAGCTCCTTGTGCCACCAGGGAGGCCCTGAGGCATGCTGTTTTGAGTGAAGTATTTTTAAAATAGAATTAGAGGCTTTTCTTTTAATTTGAATGTAAAGAAAAAATTATCAGCTTTCTCCCTCAGCATTAAACTTTAACTCTTGAAAACCTTTGAAATGTGCAATTTTTTTTTTTTTTTTTTTTGCTTGCTACATTTCCTCCTTAATTGCATGGAATATATTAACCATTTAGTGTACTGTCTCTTTCATGATTGTGCCTCTACTGGTGGATAATGTATGACTTGTTATATTTTAATTATAAGTGAATCTTTAGTTTAAGGTATATTTAAAACTAGGGACAAACTAGTAATATGAATATAGTGCCTGTTTTTGATTTTTATGGGACTTTCAAATGTGTTCTCATTTTAAGCAAGTTAAGTATTTTCATGCAAGTTGTTAATATTATCTTTTCATCTTTTAAGATGAAGTTGGAGCCCTTGTTTTTGACATTGGATCATATACTGTAAGAGCTGGTTATGCTGGTGAGGACTGCCCCAAGGTAAGTGTGATGTTTGAGTTGATTAGATATGGAACAGCCATTCATATAACATTAAGCTCATGCAGAAATTCAGAATCAAATATGGTAAAACATTTCAGCTGGGGGAGAAGATTTCCTTGATAAAGCAGGAAAAACTTGTGTATCATGTTTTGACTCTTACAGGTGGATTTCCCCACAGCTATTGGTCTGGTGTTAGAAAGAGATGATGGAAGTACTATGATGGAAATAGATGGCGATAAAGGCAAACAGGGCGGTCCCACCTATTACATAGATACTAATGCCCTGCGTGTTCCGAGGGAGAATGTGGAGACCATTTCACCACTGAAAAATGGAATGGGTATGATGTTTTTGTCTATGGATTTGATTATAGAGTATACATGGTACATTTTACATATAAAATAGTAACTTCTTAGAAGTTGAAAATGAGCTATTTTGTTTTTATTCCACAAGCTGATGTTCCCAGGTAATGAGAATGCAAAATGTATAAAACATGTTCTTTTTCTCAAGAAACTCATAGATAGTGGAAATAAATGTATACAAATATGTGCTAGGTGCTATAATATAGCTATTTTGCTAAACCATGGGATTAGAGAGCAAAGGATTGTTACTTCTTAACTCTGTCATTGGGAGTCAGTGATGGTTTCCACAAAGGAAGGAACTTTTGTACTGAATCTTGATCAAGAAATAAGAATTAGTTTGACAAGGCTAGGGTAAGTAGAGCAAATCAGCATGTGTGAAGAGATGGAATTATGGAAGAACTTACATGTTTATAAAAATGCTGTCAATTACCTTTGGCCTGCAGCATTGGGTGCTTCAGGGCCAGTAACAGGAAAGAGCAGAGCGCAGTTATGAAAGGGCTTATAAACCATGCCCTGGCAACTAAAGCTGATAACATTATAACTAAGGTGGTAACTAAAAGATAACGTCAAAGGAATTTTAACAGAGATGTAAAATGCTCCTGTTTGCCAGCTGAAAAGGTTATTGTAACAGCAATATGAAGACTTGACTGGAGGGGGAGATACTGGAGACAGGAAGACCAGTTAGGGAGGTGAGAGTCCAGATGAGAAAAGAAGTTTTAAACTATAATCCTGATGGCCAAGATCTGAGGGGGATTCAGAGATGTTCTAGCAGACAAATGATACCCAGTGAATGATGGGGTAAAAAGAGAATGAAAATTTTAAAAAGTTGCCTAGATTTTTGATGGGGGTGACTCATATAGACTCTACGCATGGAGATAGGAATAGAAAGGGAAGGAGCAACTTTCATTTAAAAGGCAAGCGTATTAGTGATATCCAGGATCACTCAGGGCCACTTATTCCCTAGAAGGATTCACAAGACTCAGCATATGGTTGTACTCATGGCCAAGATTTATTACACTGCACGGATACAAGGCATAATCAAAGGGAAAAGGGGGGCATGAAGTAAAGTGCAGAGGAAGTCAGTGCAAGCTTTTAAGACTATCTCATAATGGATTCATTCAGGATGTGCTTAATTCTTCCATAGTGAGTTGTAACATGTTTGTTATCTGCCATGGGAGCTCATTAGAGACTCAATACCCAGTTTTTATTCTGGTCTGGCTATGTACGTACTCTGTGCCTACCGTATGCCAGACTCACAGAGGGAAAGAATGTGTTAAGCGTAAATCACAATGTTTTTACAGTGAGCTACTCTTACCATTTAGGGAAAGTTTTATATCAGAGTCTGGGGAAGTATTTACCAGCAGATTTCCCAGATGCCAGCCAAAGGTCAATCTTCAAACAGACCTTTCTCAGGCCTGCAATACTAATTTACTTTTCTTCTGCACAAGTAATGAGGTTGTTATTGAGTTCAAAGTGTTAGAATGTGGGTGGTGATCTAGTGAGCAGGTGAGAAAGATTTTAAGACATGGAGTTGCATTGTTACCCATAAAGAGTTTGGAATAGGAGAAGAGGGTTAGGGATAGTATTCCTTTTGAAAATTTGTTTTATATTTATCCAGTAGTAAAGAGGTGCCCCTGAAGGGGAGAGTGAAAGTGGGGATGTAGTAGGAAATTCAGGATGTTAAAAGAAGAATAAGTTCTGGAAGTCTAGAAGTCCAAGTCTTGTCCTCAGCTGTCACAGTGAGGAAGAGAGAAGAAAGTTATGTACAGTGAAGTTATGTACCAAAGAAGTGAGAAGTTATGTACCAGTGAAGTCCATTGACCAAAAAAAGGTCCTAATAGTCTTGTGGAAGTGTGTTACACAAGTAATGACTTTCTTCTTTGGGCTGTGGCAGAAAAAAAAGATTGTTAATTTTTGAGTAGTTAATAGTGTCTGATAATTTACAGATGTCATGTAAGAGTACCCGAGTGAAGTATTCACTGGATTTACCTTTTAAAAGTTATTAGTGACTTTTGAGAGCAATTTTAATGGAATATTTAGGTTGACACCATATAAAAGACATATTAGTATTGGTTGAGAATAATATAAACTATAATTTTTAAATATCTTGCAGTCTTTTTTATTCAAATATATTGTGAAACATTTTATTTTTTCCATGCTTTTTGGTTTAACTACTAAGAACATAATTCACACAATGAAAACAATCTAAAGTACAATAATGAATTTTATATATATATTAAAGGAAATATATTATGTGCTTATGATTTGGAAGAAATCTTAAACATTTTTTAAGCAGTAGAAATATACAGTTACAAATGGAAATATATAAAGCTTTTTTTTTTTTTTTAAAGATTTATTTTATTTGTACAAGAACTGGGGTAGAGGCCAGAAGGGCGGGAGGGTGAGAGAATTCACCAGAGACAGAGTGGGGAGCCGAACAGGCAGACGGACTGAAAACACTGCTGAGGGGAACAGCGGGGAGACAGGAGAGGTCTGCTGCATCATGGGGAGAGCTCCCTGACCGGTCGGGTATTGAACCTGCGCTGCAGAGACTTTGGACAGCTTCACAGAGCTGCACTTAACCCTCTGCACCACCAGGGAGGCCCCATAAAGACAGCAAAGGAGACAATAACAAAAACAAAGAGAAACCCCACCCACTGGGAGAACATTTTTGCACACAACACTAATGATAAAGGACTGATCACAAAAATCTGCAAAAAGCTGATGAGACTCAACAAAAACAAAGAAAATAATCCAGTCAAAAAATGGGCAGAAGAGCTAAAAAAGAAACTTCTCTGAAGAGGAAATGCAAATGGCCAACAGGCATATGAAAAAATGTTCAACATCCCTTATCATCAGGGAAATGCAAATCAAAACTACAATGAGATACCATCTTACACTAGTGAAAATGGCACATATTAAAAAAACTAGCAACAACAAATGTTGGCGAGGTTGTGGAGAAAAAGGAACTCTCCTGCACTGTTGGTGGGAGTACAAACTGGTCCAACCACTATGGAGAGCTGCATGGAGATTTCTTGACCTACTAAACATAGAGCTTCCATATGATCCAGCAATTCCACTCCTAGGTATTTACCCAAAGGACACAGAAACATCAATTCCAAAGAGCACCTGCACCCCTATGTTTATAGCAGCACAATTTACAATAGCTAAGCTTTGGAAACAACCCAAATGCCCAAAAATAGATGACTGGATCAAGATGTGGTACATATACACCATGGACTATTACTCAGCATTCAAAGAAGATAAACACATGCAATTTGCAGCAACATGGATAGAGCTGGAAGGGATCATGCTCAGTGAAATAAGCCAGAAAGAAAAAGAAAAATACCGGATGGTCTCACTCATAGCAGGAATCTAGAAAACTTAAATAAGGGACCAGGAAAATGAATAACTATAAGAAAGTGAAAATCAAAATCAACAAACAACTATGAAGCAGAGACTCTCTATGGGGGCTGGGGCGTGGGGAAAGGAGGGCTTGTGGTCAAAATAAGGGGGGTGTAATTGTAAGGGGAATATAAAAATAAAATTTAAATAATAAAAAAATAATTTAAAAAAGTCAGATTTAAATCATATATTTATATTTCCCCTCACCATTTTGATTACAAATGGAACCTTTATTAAATACTTAATTGAGTAACATTGTTTTGGTATTTTAGGTCTATTAGGTATATTAATTAAATTTGGGACAGGTCTGGGGCTTGTGATACTGTTGGAGCAGAAGGAACTAAAAAGAGGTTCTAATATCCAGAAGACAAAGATGATCATATAATGTACTTTGTAATGAAGTAGATCTGTAAAGTAGATTCTATAAAAGTATTAATGCTAGATCAAAGAAAGAGTGCTTTATTCATCTTCAACTAAACATTGTTTTCAAAATTAATTTCATATTCTAGTTGAAGACTGGGATAGTTTCCAGGCTATTTTGGACCATACCTACAAAATGCATGTCAAATCAGAAGCTAGCCTCCATCCCGTCCTCATGTCGGAAGCACCGGTGAGACAGACTCTTTTCCAAGTTTCTCCGTGGTTTTTTTTTTTTTTTTTTTTTTACTTTAGGCTTTTTTTCCCCTTACTTTATTTGGTGAATGCCTCTTTGTTCTTTTAAAATGCATAGAAATTCATATTTTGAATTCTGAAACTTAGGAATTAATTTCTAAATACTATACAACTTTTATAATTTCAGTAAACTATTCAGGCAATCAGAAAACATCATAATGGGTTCTGGTGGTTGAAAAAAAAACATTTGATTTTCCTTGGAAAGCCTTTGATTTCCTTGCTCCCCATTTTGGTTTATGAATTGCCCCTTGTGCCTCAAGGGTAATGTATTTACTTTTATACTCAAGTGTTGAACCAGGACAGGAAATTGCTTAAGTCTCCTGTGAAATTTATTTGGTACACGGTCAAAAGGGCCTAAGGAGCTAGCATAATGATAATAAGTGATCAGTATTTTGTTTCACTCTTCATGAATTCCAGTTATAAGGTATAAGCGAGAATTTGGTGGTTTGAAATTTGTATTTAAGATTTTGATTACTAGATTTAAGATTTTACGATGCTTTGTTTATAAGAATCCTCATTTCTATATATTTTGAAAAGTTTATAATCTCTAGAATTCATAACAAGACAGTTTTGCTGATTGCATCATTTTAGTTTTTGTTTAGTCTGCTTATTAAATTTACAAATAAATAGAAAAAAAACAACATTAAAAAACTAGGATTATTTTTCATGGTATTCATTTTTAATGTTTTATGTTAATAAAGTACTGTAATGACTCGAGATAAAACAGCATTTTTGTTTTTAAACAATAAATAACTTGCATTTCTTTTCCCCTCTTCTCAAGTGGAATACTAGAGCAAAGAGAGAGAAACTGACAGAATTAATGTTTGAACACTACAACATCCCTGCATTCTTCCTGTGCAAAACTGCAGTTTTGACAGCGTATCCTTGAAAGAGTAATACTTAGTTTTTCTCTAGAAGTAAGTGTTGTGCTATTAAAAGGTGATGCACCCAGCAAAAGACTTCATCCTATTCTAGCTTGTTCTGAAGTTTGGGCAGCAAGGGATGTGTGCTCTCTTGATTTTTACTTGTCTATTCTAGTATTCCTTGTTGGAATCATGCCGTTATACCAGAAGACAGGAGAGGGAAGTGAGATAGTTAAGCTTCAGTCCTTCTTAACAGGGATTTAAAAATTTTTGTTTTTAGGAGAATGAATAGATGGCAGTGTTTAAGCTGCCTGTCTTCTTAACATTGCTCTTCCTTCCCTCCTATCCAGTACCTTAGAAATATGGAAGTTAGCTATAAATTATTTTAAGATTTAATCACCAGATACTTAATAAGCCTATTAAGGGAAAGATAGAGAAATATTATGTCTTGACCTGAAATAATTTATAATGTATGTATTATTAAAAACTAACAGATTTGTATATAGTACTTTAGAATATAACGTTGGCAAAAGTCATAAAGAAGTATATGATTAATTTGAATTTTTGTATAACAATTGTGGTAGTTGAGTGGAAGAATAGGGTACTCTAACAAACCTTTATAAGAAAATAAAATTTAGTTGCATGATGTGGATGTAATAACCCTGTATTCGAAGTTCCAAGTCTGTTTGGCTGCTTTCTTAGAAGGACTGTATAAACAGAATTGGACATTGATTTATTTATTTATACAATAGCTGGGGTACAGGTCAGAGGCGCAGCAGGGTGAGAGGATTCACCAGAGACAGAGTGGGGAGAACAGGCAGACAAACTGAAAGCACTGCTGAGGGGAGCAGCAGGTGCGCAGCCACACCTTGTGGGAATCTCTCTGGCTGGCCGGGAATCGAACCCGCGTCGCAGAGGCTGCAGACAGCTTCATAGCACTGCGCTCAACGCGCCTCACCACCGGGGGAGGTCCTGTTTCATTTTTTAACTATAGAATATTTCTACTTTAAAAGAAGATAGAATATTATATTGAACCATATCTTCTTTTCTTTAAAACATTTAAAGTTCTTTAAAAAGTTCATTTGAATCAGTGCCCAAACAAGAGTCATACAATATATTTGTTTGATATGTCTTTACTTCTCTTTTAATCTGTGCATTCTCCTTTTACCCCTTTATTTCTCTGGTATTTATTTGTTTAGAGAAGTAGATAGTCCTGTAGAATTTCTCACATTCTGGATTTTGTTGACTAGTGTTCTTACGTTCTTCTGGGCCAGAGTTCTCAAATTTTTAGATTCAGAACTTTTATTTATGTGGTAGCTGGCACTATTTACCATATTAGAAACTAAAACAAAAACTTAGAAATTATATTCAATTATTTTAGATAGATTAGTAATAAATACATTATATGTTAATATAAGCAAATTATTAATTAGAAGAGTGGCATCATATTAGATTTTTTTCAAATGTCAGACTTGATAGCAGAAGCTGGATTCTCATACCTGGCTTTTGCATTTAGTCTATTGTATATTGCACATAATAGCCTCCAGAAAACTATATTCATGAGAGAATGGAAGTTATAATAGCAGTTAATAGCTTAGTGTTATTTTTTTTTAAAAGATTTATTTATTTATGCATACGAGCACTGGGGTACAGGTCAGGTGTGGAGGGTGAGAGGATTCACCCGAGTCAGAGTGGGGGGCAGAACAGGCGGATTGACTGATGAAATACACTGTTGAGGGAAACAGTGGGCAAGACAGGAGAGGTCTGCTGCGCCATGTGGGTCAGCTCCCTGACGGGATAGAACTGAAGCTGCAGTGGCTGCAGATAGCTTCATGGTGCTGAGACTTAACCCCTTGCGCCACCAGGGAGGCCTCAACATTATTTTTTTTCTGTAGTTCTTATGGTAAGATACAAGTTCTTTTCAAAATGAGAATTCTAGAAATATGCAAAATTATATAGAAATATATTTTAGGTTATAAATACTTGTCAATAGGAAAAAGGTTTGTTTTGATTGAAATACACTGCTGAGAGGAACAGTGGGCGAATCAGGAGAGGTCTGCTGCGCAATGTGGGTTACTCCCTGGCCAGGGATTGAACTCCTGTGCTGCAGTGGCTGTGAATAGTTTCATAGGTTGCATCTTAACTTCTTGTGCCACCAGGGAGGCCCCGCTTAGTATTATTCTAAAAATTGTTTTGACTTCTCAAACAGTATGGCTTCAGGACTCCTTTATACTTTTAAAAATTATTGAAGACCCCAAAGTGCTTTTGTTTATGAAGGTTATATCTATTGATATTACTGTTTGAGAAATTAAAACTAAGACTTTTTAAACATTTACTTACTCATTTAAAAATAACAAAAATAGACCCATTGGTGTTAACACAAGTAGCGTTTTTATGAAAATGACAACTATGTTTATTTGAAACAAAAATATTAGTGAGAAGAATACCATTGTTTAACTGACTTAACTGATGATAGCTGAGTTCTCATATTTGCTGGTCTCAGGCTCTGTTCTCTTGGCTCTTAAGCCTGTGAGGAGGGCGTTAGTTTTCTGCTGTCCGAAACACATAACATTGGAGAATACATTTGGTAAAAAGACCATGTTTATGCAGCTTTGTTTTTCAAGAGTAGATTGTTCTCTCTTCTTTCTGTTTCGTTTGGGTTCTTTCAAGTCCTGCACTTGAATAGTTCAGCAGTCAGAGATTCGGGTAATAAACTCAGATTTCAGGTATCACCTCTTTGTGATTCTCTTGCTTCCAGGGTTTCTATCTTAAATGTCCAGCTTTTCTTTCAGCTCTGACCTCTTTTCTCCGTTCACTTATCATGGTAAAGTTGAAATTTTCCCCTAGTTTTTCCTAATCCATAGCCATGGAGCTGGGGAGCATTTTACTGCAAGAAACTATAGTTCTTACCTCTTTCAGTTGCAATTATATGAGAAATTTTGGCTGAACTTCGAATGCCTTTGAACACTTTATCTGAAAATGGTAATTTTTAATAATTTGTTTAGGTTTTATAATCGCCATCTATAGGAAAGTTCATACACCTTTACGCCACTTTTCAGCCTTGTGTTACTGTTTCACTTTGTACCGATAGAGATAAAATTCACATTTATGTATATGGGTGACCAGAGGTGAATAGAACACTAGTAATAGCAAAGATAACTCAATAACCTATCTTTCTGGTCATTTATTCTCAGATCTCTTTGATCACCCCTACCCATTTCTTGGATTTCTGCCTCTACCTAGCCCTTCATCTCTTTCACATGCACTTTCTGGCTTAATTTACCCATTTCCTTCAGTTCGTATATCAGGTATATCCAAAATCCCTGTCGCTATCCCAGCTCTTTCTTGTAAACTCCATCCATACCCATCCACCTCCTAGCATTTTTTCTATTATCTGTTTAAGCACTTTAAACTCAATAATGTGTACAAAACAGAATTTATTTTCTTTCTCCCCTTTACATTTATTCCTTTTCCTTCTGTGTATCATCTTTCTTCCGTTTGTCCAGACCATTAATCTTTCTCTATAACCCTTCAGATGTAGCCAGTCATCAAGACCTGTGTTTTCTTTATCCCTGTTTCTCAAATCCAGTTATTTCTCTTTGTTCAGTAGCACTGTTTCAGGATTACTGCAACCTATCCTCTTGCCCATTCTGCACACCGCACCTGTATCTGTAAATTGCTGGTCTGCTTGAAGCCAGAATCATCTTCCACAATTTTTCCTTTATTCTTCTTCCAGACTGAACTGAAGCACTTGCACTTCCTGGACTTCACCATGCTCTCTTGCTTCCTGGTCTCCCTGCTTTCCCCCCATGTCCCCTTCACTAGCTGGGCATCCTGAACTGTCTTTTTACAGCTTTACAATCTCTACTTCACCAAATAGTATATCCTTCAGGGCAAAAAAAGTTTGGGTTTATATATCTTCTGTGCTTACATTAGAATTGCTAGTGCAGACCGGGGAAACATAACAGATACTTAGTAAATATTTGGTGACAGAATGAGTGACCCTAAATATTGGTTTATGGTGTTCATGTAATATATTCCTTCTGCAGCCCACATCTATGGAAAATGAGATCTGCAGAAATTCATTGGCTGTTGAATCTACCTGGAATAGCTCTTTTCATTGAGTTGGGGGAGGTGAAACTTGCTAAACTGCTGAAGTGGTTCTTTAATCCTATGTGTGCATGACTGTACTTCCTTCTTTAATTGCCGTAGCCTTACAGGTTTCTGTAGGTAGGTATTGTTAATTAGTTGCTTCTCAGTTTGTTGTAAACCCTTTGCTCTATCTCCAGAGACTTTGAATGATTATGTGAATTTTGGCCAGCTTTAATTGTTGTCTTTCTTTGGAAGAAAGGTTTCCCAAAGCTGTCATACCACCATTCTAGAAGTCCTGCCTGTTGTCACTTGTTTCCATGTCAAAGTTATTAGTTGATACCAGTTTTCACCCCTAGATTTTATTTAACACATTTTATACCATAATGCAGATGAAGAAGAAATGCCTTGTGAAACTTTCCCTTTATAATAAACATTATTTTAGGAGCCTTAATACTTTATTTTCCTTAATGCTATAAACTAGATTTGCTAATGGCCGTTCTACTGGGCTGATTTTGGACAGTGGAGCCACTCATACCACTGCAATTCCAGTCCACGATGGCTATGTCCTTCAGCAAGGTAAATGTATTTAACCATGGTTAAATCAATATTAGTTGTCATGAGTACACTGGTAATGAAATATTGAATAAAACAATGAGTTGGACTATCAGAACATATTTCCAAATGTTTCTTTTTTTATTCTTTAGTATGTAATGTGTATTTAAAACTGATACATGGAATAGTTCCATTAATTCTACTTGAAAAAAAGTTATTCACAAATAAATACACAGTAAATTTTTCCCAAGAAGTTGGGTTTAATCTTTCCTAACCTTTCCTAATCTGTTTTATAGGTATTGTGAAATCCCCTCTTGCTGGAGACTTTATTACTATGCAATGCAGAGAACTATTCCAAGAAATGAATATAGAATTGATTCCTCCATATATGATTGCATCAAAAGTAAGTGATAATTGAATTTTCTTTTTGAAATTTATCTCCAACTCCCACACCCTTTTGTGAACTCTGTTAACCTAGCACGTGTACTCTTGGTACTTAGGAAGCTGTTCGTGAAGGATCTCCAGCAAATTGGAAAAGAAAAGAAAAATTGCCTCAGGTTACGAGGTCTTGGCACAATTACATGTGTAATGTAAGTAACCCTTATCTCCTTTGTAGAGCATTATAGGCTATCTTTGCATAGATTAAGAGAGCTTTATATTTTCAAGCTTTATAGTTTTAGTGATCATTTTACCAAAAAATTAGTAACTTTTTTAGGAAGAAGTTTGCTCTCATACTTGCCAAACAAGTATCTCAACAAACTATGTTCATTTGGATTACTATGGTGAGACTTGGAAGGAGGTTTGGTTTAGGGGTGGAAACAAGCATTATGCTGTTTTGCACATTTTTTTTGGCTAGTAAAATGATTTTAGTCTGTAGAGACCTGTTAGGGTAGTTGTTGTATTCTTATTCCTAATACCAATCAGCCATGTAAAAAGTCCTATTATTCATAGCAAGGAGCCAATAAGTATTTCTCTTTACTAAATATCTATCTCTGGATATAGGAGAGGTTGGTAAAATAATCTGCCACACCACTATATATTTATTCATTTCTAACAGTTAAAAGGATGTGAAAGTCATAATTTACTATGGTAGGAATATATCCTGTGTTGAGTTTTTTGCAACTAAAGATGAAGATTTTTTTGTGGGTGTTAGTACAAGAAAAACATAAGTATCTGAAAATGATTAATGATTTTGCCTAGATATTAGACAAGACTTTTTTCTTAACAGCCTAAAGATAATATATATTTCACATCATTTTTTTGAAGTTTTACACCATGTGCATAAGATGTGATGTGTAAGCCTGTGTTTATAATACAGGTAATGAAATCACTAAATCCAAACTTTGAGGGAAAAAAATTGTGTTCTAAAACTGGTTTTGCTATACAAAACTGTGGTGAAAGGGTTTCCTATTGTTTTTATCTCATCATTGTTCTCTAACTATTGTAATTTAAAATTTATTTAATTTGGTTTAGAATTGGGTTTCTTGATAACTCAATCCTTGCTGGGTAAATTTATACCCTTGAAATGCTTTACCCATCCAGGAATGTTATCCAGTTTCATTCAAAAAAAGTATCTAAAACATAATGTCCTAAAAGTGTAGATTGCGAAGAAAATCTTAATGCTTTTTTTTGTTTGTTTTAATCCTTTTTTAATCCATAGTGTGTTATCCAGGATTTTCAAGCTTCCGTACTTCAAGTATCAGATTCAACTTACGATGAACAGTATGTTTTCTTATTTTGTCTACAAGTCTGATAATTAATAGTTCATTGAAATCTTGATGCTAATCTTTTTAAAAACTGTATACTTAAAAGTAGGGAAAGAAATTGATTTGTTTAAAGAAAATCATAGAAGATGCTTAACCTGCAGTGGACTGTGGTAAAGGACTGTGGTGGTGGTTGTGGTATGGAAACATACTTTGAAGAGGTGTGAACCTTTATCTCTGAACCCTTTACATCATTATAAACCAATGTTAACCTCAACTTAAAAAAAAAAGAATGTGTCAAATCTACTCTAAAGTTACAAAGTCACATTAGGAAATACTGTATACCTTTTTAAAGTATTCTCATTTTGCTCTTTTACAAGTTGGTGATTTTTTAGCACTTTATTATTTTGAAGAGGATTGTTTTTGTCTTGTGCCTTATGTTTTCAGAGTAGCTGCACAGATGCCAACTGTTCATTATGAATTTCCCAATGGCTACAACTGTGATTTTGGTGCAGAACGGTTAAAGATTCCTGAAGGATTATTTGACCCTTCCAATGTAAAGGTATGACAGCTTATTTCATAATTAGTCTGGCTTTACTTGTGTATTTAAAGGTCTTGTATAATTATAAAACCTAAATAGAACTAAATTTTGGGGGCTGCTTTATTGTTCTTTGTTTTATTTTCTTATAGGGATTATCAGGAAATACAATGCTGGGAGTCAGTCATGTTGTTACTACAAGTGTTGGAATGTGTGATATTGACATCAGACCAGTAAGTGCCAATTCTGTTTTGTATATAGGTATTATTTAGGACAGTGAAATGCCCCCAAATCATTATTTAAGTTGGTAACTTTGGCCATTGATTTTATAGTCCATTTTAAAATAATGTTTTAAAAAAATAAGTAATAGAAAGGGAAAATACATAACCCTAGAACTCTGGTGTCTAATGTGGTAACTTCTGGCTACCTCGAATATTCAAAATAAATAAAAATTTTAATTTTAGTTCCTGAGCTCACTAGCTACATTATAAAAGTAGTTAGTGGCTGCTGTCTGACAGTGCAGATATAGAACATTCCATAATCACAGATGGAGAGTGCTATTCTAGAGATTTCCAAAACGTGATATACCAAAATACATATTATTGGTGATTTTTCTTGTATATAGCACAGTTTCACTTACTACTTTTATTTTCCAGGAAAGTGCGGTTTAAATTATATAGCTTTTACATGGGGTTCAGTTTAAATGATCTTCCTACTTTGATATTCTCTTATATTTTGTCTTATTTTTAATTGAAGTATAATTGGCACATTAGTTTCAGGCTTGCAACATAATGACTCAATATTTGCATATATTGTGAAATGATCACCCCAGTAAGCTTGGGTACCACCTGTCACCATACAGTTACAGAACCTTTTTTCTTGTGATGACAAATTTTAAGATACACTCGCCTAGCATCTTTCAAATGTGCAATATAGTATTATTAACTAGAGTCACCATGCTGTATATTATATCCCTGTGCCTTTATTATAACTGGAAATTTGTACCTGTTTTGTCAGACTTTTAAACACCAACTCCATATTATATATTATATTCATTATATCTACTTTAAACCCTAGTCAGTTGGTAGCCAAAATACTGCCTCAACTTTTAATTAATTCACTTATTTAGCGCATAGTACTCATAGCTAAAGGTGTGTCAAAAATATGTTCAAACATGTTCAGGAACTAAAATTAATAGAGAAAAGTAGTAATCATTTTCACCAGGAATATTGTCAGATTACTCTTTGTCCATCATAATCATGACTTAATATCATTACCTAATTTTAAGTATACAGCTTCCAGATGAGGATTCTAATAAATATTGGCACAAATGCCAGAAATTGGTTTTTGGAATAATTTATTGATTCTTACACTTTAGCACACGTTAGAATCTGGAGCTTTCTAAAGAAACTAGCAAAAACTTTGCCTGGACTCTATCCCCAGAGATTTTCATTTAATTGCCTGCAGGTATTAATGTCTTAAAAGCTCCCCAAATGAGTCAGATGTATAGCCAGATTGAGAGCCATTGGAATAAGCTACTAAATCTACATAGAAGAATGAAAGGGAAAATTGTAGTGGAGGACATGGTTTTAATTTGTAATTGTATTTAAAACTTGTAATATTTGGGTCTAACTTGTCTTATTTTTTATCCTAGGGTCTCTATGGCAGTGTGATAGTGGCAGGAGGAAACACACTAATACAGAGCTTTACTGACAGGTTGAATAGGGAGCTCTCTCAGAAAACCCCCCCAGTGAGTTGTTAACTTTTTTTTACTATAAAGATTGATTTATTTATGCATACAAGAGCTGGGGTGTAGGCCAGAGTTGCTGGGGGATGGGGGGATGGCGAGAGGATTCACCAGTGACATATTGGGGACCACAACAGGCAGACTGACTGAAACACATTGCTGAGGGGAGCAGCAGGTGAGACAGGAGAGGTCTGCTGCACCATGTGGGTTGGTAGAAGTGGGGAGAGTGTCATGGCTGGAAAATTTGATATTTTAGTGTCTAGGGCTGCTGTAACCAACTACCACATACTGAGTGACTTAAAACAACATATTTTATGATCTCTCAGTTCATAAGCTAGAAGTCTAAAATTAATGTGTTAGTGGGGCCAGGATCACTCTGAAACCTACTGAAGAGGATCCTTCTCTGCCACCTTCCTAGCTTCTGTGGTTTGCCAGCAATTCTTGGTGTATTTTGGAATGCAGTTCAGACTCTACCTCCATTGTCACATGGCATTCTCCCTTCATGGTTGTTTTCTTTTTTTAAAAGATTTATTTATTTATTTATATAAGCACTGGGTATAGTCAGAAGCGCGGGAGGGTGAGAGAATTCACCAGAGCAGGGAGCAGAGCAGGCAGACTGACGAAGAAATACACTGCTGAGGGGAGCAGTGGGCACGGCAGGAGAAGTCTGTCGTGCTATGTGGGACCCTCGCTGGTGGCCGGGGATCGAACCGGCGCTGCAGAGGATGCGGGCAGCTTCGCAACCCAGCACTCAACCACTGCGCCACTGGGGAGGCCCCTCATTTTAACTTTTTAATCTTCATTAATTAAATCTACAGAAACTGTATGTCCATTCACAAATACTAGAGATTAGAATGCAACATAACTCTTTTGGGGATACCACCACAATAGATAGGTACCAGGTTATGTTGCTTACTAATAGTTGCATATTATTAATGTTGCTTGTTAGTTCTAGCTTATTAATAGAGAACTTACATGATAAAATTAGACAGAGGTCTGAAGAGCTCCTGCATTTGGTATATTATGGTATCTTGTGAAAGGATAGAAGATCCTGGTTTGAAGAGAAAGTATTAATAGTCGTAACCTTTAGATTTTAAAAACTCTATCAATTTTTTGTAAGGAGTTACACTAAATACTACATTTCAAAAAAACTTAGTATGCCCTCATAATACCTAAACAATTTGTATATTTGCTGGTCTTTTGATTTCTCATATGAAATGTTTTATATATACCAGCTTAATAATTATTAAATGTTGACATAAGCACAAGTTTGAATGCCTTATTTTACTACATTTTTAAAGACAGTGATCTGGAGCACACTTAATTATAGTAGTAATAATTAGATTTCATAGAAAGTCCCAGAATAATGTACATGGTGTGTTCAAGTGAGTGAGAGACTATCCTTGTCCTTGAGGAGGCAATTACAATCAAATAATAAGGTGCGGGCCAGTCGTACAATGCATAACATGTCTCACTACAGATCAGAAAAAATCAAATAATGGCGAGAAATCCATTGTTACAGATGTCAACCACTTCCCTGCCTACAAAAATCCAAGTCCATACCTCCTACTTCCACAGCCCCTCCCATCTATACCACTCCATATTCTATCTTGACACACACACATTTATTTCACTATGAAACTGACTGTGTTCATATGTAATTGAACATAATAATTGGAAAGTATTAACAATTTGAGAACTATCCCATAAGCAGATTCTAGATAGGGAGGGTACTGAAAGTGAGATAGGGACAATACTAAGCAGTGAAACAAGAGTATGAGTTCAAAACAGAAACACAATTAGGAAAGAATGCAGTTACGGGTAAAGCTCAACCTGAGATCTCATGTTTGGCTTTTGATTTGGGAGGGATGGGACGAGGTGGGGTGAGTGAAGATAGAGGCCAGGATAGTATGAAGGCCTAAAAGGTAATTAGAAAGTTTGAGGACTACAGAAAGAGGGGCAAGTTTGGGATAATTGAATTTGGTATTTGGAAGCATTGAAATAATAGATGAAGCACTTAGCACAGTACCTGCTTTAAAGTGTGAAAGACAGGTTTGCTATTATGAGACATAAATTTAAATTAGTGCCATACTCTGTAGTTTGCAGTTTTCTCAAGTATTTTTTTAGTTTACATATTTTATCACACATTGCACATTAAAAGCCATCAAAGTACTTTAAAAAAAAATCTTTCTATACAGTTCAGTGTGTGCCTACTAGTAGACTGGCTGCTACAAAATAATCATGTTTGGTGGTTGAACTAGAGTCATTAAGTCAGAATTGAACCTCATACTAATCCTTCTTCCCTTTCTTTTAGAGTATGCGGTTGAAATTGATTGCAAATAATACAACAGTGGAACGGAGGTTCAGTTCATGGATTGGTGGCTCCATTCTAGCTTCTTTGGTTAGTAAATACACTACTTTGCAAAATAAAGATTCCTACTGAGTCATTTAATTATACCATTGAAAATACTGAATTTAGTAAAAATACTAAAAATAATTAAGTACATTATTTATCTTTGTAATTTATAATTGTCAACTGGAGAACCTAATAATCAGTCTTATATTTTCTAATATAGCAAAATGTTTCATTGCCTTGTAAGTGGATATTTGTTACCCTAATTTCAATTTCCCCTCTCAAGCAGAGGTGGGAAATCTGTTAACTTGTTCATGCCTCTTCTCCCATTGGCACTTTTTAGGACTTAGCGGTAAGCACAATTAAGCTATTCCTTCTCAGGTTCTGGTTGCCCCATGGTGAGGAAAGGAAGTTAGGAATTGGTTCTTGAGGCAAATGGTGAAGTCATGGTTCTGGGTTTTGCATTTTGCTTAGACTGGTGCTGCCTTATTCTTTCCTGTACACCCTAGACTTGAAGCATTTTCCCTTCACCTCAGCAGCCAAGAGCAGTACTTTATACCAGATTATTAAAAAAACTTTGGTAGAAGAGTGACCAGTTTCAGAATTAGTATGCCATATTAACACAGTTGATCGTTATTTGATTAATAGAAGTATCTTAAGCTATTAAGTGAAACTGTCCATTTATACATTCCTTTTCCATGTTCTATTTCTAATCTCCTAATACATCTTAGATCAAATTGTATTCCATGTATGAGTCCAGTTAACTTGAATAGTTAATAGGGAGTGGATTTCATTAATGTAGCTCAGATTCTTTTGGTCATTTTCCTCCCTTCTGTTTAAGTGGTATGATGTTTGTGTACTATTTGGTGTATACTGGCAAGATTTTGTCTTGGTTCTGAGGAGCATTTTAAGTTCTAAACGTTACCATTAATCAAGTTCTAGAACAACTCTTTATTAATAGTTCTGTACTAGGCCAAACCTTCCAACAATTTCTATTGTTGCCTTAGGTTGACACAAAGCCACCATAGCCAAACCCATTATCTTCTTTTCATCACCATTTAAAAATCCATGAGAGTGTAACAGACCTAGGTAGAAGGACTTATTATACTTTCTAACCTTAGGCAAGATTAAATAGTGTCTTTGGGTGTTGTGGAGGAGGGCAGAAATAAGAAAGGAGTAATAAAATACTATTTGGGGGGAATTTAAGAGTTCTTCAAAGATGTATAAGTTGTTAAAGAATTTAGAAGAGTATTTTCTAATATAGACAGAATAATATATATACTTTTTCTTTCCATTTTACAGGGCACATTTCAACAGATGTGGATTTCCAAACAAGAATATGAAGAAGGAGGGAAGCAGTGTGTAGAAAGGAAATGCCCTTAAAGAGTTCCCAAATCTCTACCTTCTTGTGTCACCTTACGTTTCATAGCTTTAGTATACTCAGGAAAAGAATGACCATCTTTTGTAGAATGTTTATACATTTTTGCATATTTCAATTCCCACTTAAATTTTTAAAGGCTTTAACTGGATCTATAAATTAAAATAAGTTTGTGCTTTTCTTGAAATACACTTATTCTTATTACAAGCATTTTATAATTTTGTATAAATGTCTATTTTCTCTAAATATTTTGCTTTCAGTAAAATGCTTTTCAACTCTGTTTAGTATCTTAATTACCAGTGGATTGGTAGAATTGCTTTTTATTAACTAGTAAGACTTATTGCCTATGCTTTTTACATTAGGCTTGCAAAATTAAATAAAATTTACTAGCCATTCCAGAAATACATTTTTGGACTATTGTGTGTAATCACTTGCTACTTTAAGTATTGAATGTATTTTTCAGTATTTGGGTGAAAAGTATTTAATGTTATTAACAATAGTGTCCAAACCCCTTTTACCTTCTATTAACTATAGTAGTAAAAATGTTACCTGAATCCCAAAAACTACCTTATTGCCTTTGGTAGAGCAGTTGATATCACTTTACCACTCTCAGATACAGGTGACAGTAGAGCTTATATGTCAGAAATTAGAAAATGGAAATTTGAACTTTATACCTGATTATTAAAAAAACTTTGGTAGAAGTGACCACTTTCAGAATTAGTATGCCATATTAACACCACAATTGATCGTTATTTGACTAAAAACACATTTTCTTGATAAACCATTTAACATATAATTTTGTAAATAATATGTAATCAAAACAAAAATAGTCAACGAATAATTCAGACATTTTAGGCAAGACTTGTCTTCTGAGCTTGAGAAAGATGTGGAAACTTTTCTTGAAGAAATTTTTCTTTCTTTTTCTCTAAACTTTTCTTTCTTGTTTTGATACGAATTTGTTTCTCAAGTTTCAGTCTACAATGATAAAAACATAACAGCAATTTATATAAAACTTCCCTGTTACTCAATATAAAATATCAAACTATGTCCAAATCAATTACTTAAAAGCCTCAATTAATTATGCCAGTCTCTAACAGGTATGTCATGTGTATTGCTAAACTTGAACAATCACTGTAAACCTGCATAAGTCAAAGATAAATGTGAAATCAAAAGCATCTAATTTCTAATTGTTTCTAATTTCCTGACAGGAAATAATGTACAGATCTTTGAGCCTGTTACAGATTGGGCTTTCTACTATATTTTATTGAATATATTAGCTTTTTTACATCCTGAGAGAGACCCTGAGACTTTCCGGATTCCCTAATTTCAAATAGCAGTCAGTGTACCATATCATTCCCCCTACAACAAAGAGAATAAAACCACACTAAGAGATGATGCCTAGATGCCAGTAACATACCACTCAGCATCCGCAGGCATATGAGGAATTTGTACCTTAGCTAAATTATGTTGCTCTCTTATCACCAATCAGGAATCATCAAAATTACAAATGATAAGATCTTGGATGCCAATTCTCCATTTCAGTTGGTATTTTACGGGATATGTTATTAACCAGTAGGCATATAATCTATAGCAATACAATAAAAAGGCATACCATAATGTGCCGGTGCTATGGGGGAGGTCACAGAAATTGAGATATGCATAATATTTGGGTAAAGACAAAAATACATGTATAAACAAAAAATAGGATATAAGCTACTTTGTAATGAAGTATAAATACTAAGTTGAAATCAGATTATACATTCTATTCATCAATCTGCTCCAACCAAATTTTAATCATTCATTAAAAAAAAAAAATCTGAAAGAATAAAGGTTTGTTAAGAATATGCAGATTAGGGCCTTCCTGTTGGTGCAAGTGGTTAAGCACAGCACTGTGAAGCTGTTCCCTGCTGGCCAGGGAGATACCCACATGGCGCAGCAGACCACTCCTGTCCTGCCTGCTATTCCCCTCAGCGGTGTGTTTCAGACAATCTGCCTGTTCTGTTCCCCACTTTGTCTCTGGTGAATCCTCTCACCCCCTGCATCTCTGGCCTGTACCCCATTTCTTGTATGCACAAATAAAAATCTTAAAAAAAAAAAAAAGGCAACAGTACACTGTATGTATTAGAATGCTAACATGTTTCTCAATAGTAAGATTTTATAAAACTTTGTCTTCTTTTCTCTGATTTTTCTTTTTCCACAAAGAACACTCATTAGTAATGTGTCTGTCATTTTATATAAAGGTAAATATTTCATTATTAAGAGTACACGTATAGCTCACCTGACAAAACGGTCCACATAGGGCATCGCAAAAAATCGTTTCCTATTATATCTCTTATTTAGGTACCATGGTATAGGCCACTGTTTGAACTTGTGCCTGCCAATAAAAGCAAAAATGTAATGCCTTAGAGAAAACTGAATACATTTTCACTTTTTGCAATTTTAACCTCCCTTGGATTAAATAAAATGAGATATAGTTAGCTTCTGAAAGGTCTTTTACATTTTAATGAATTATGAAATATTCTAAACTTGGAGAAAAGTATCGAAAATATACTGCAATATGATCACAGTAAACTTACTGCAAAACTGCAGATGTTAATATTTTGCAATGTTTGCTTCAGATCATGCCTTCAAAAATATATTTATATATAAATTTAAAGATACAGATAAAGTTCTCTACTTACACAATAGCTCTAAGCCACAAACTGAAGATTACCTAAGACTTGCTACATATATACATACTGTATATGTACATAATCACTTTATGCATGTTTATGTACACATGTATAAAAACAATTTGATATAGATCCAATTTGATATTTACATGTTTATTTTGTACTTTTTTTTATTTTTTTTTTTTTTTTATTTTATTTTTTTTTTTTTTGATAGAGGCATGCTTTATTTATTTGTTTGCTGGTTTGTTTGTTTGTTTTGTTTATACATGCACTGGGTACAGTCAGAAGCGCGGGAGGGTGAGAGAATTCACCAGAGCCAGAGCAGGGAGCAGAGCAGGCAGAAGGACCGAAGTACACTGCTGAGGGGAGCAGCGGGCGGCAGGAGAGGTCTGCGCGCCATGTGGGACCCTCCTCCAGTGGCCGGGGAGCAGCCGGGGATCGAACCGGCGCCGCAGAGGCCGCGGGCAGCTTCGCAACCCAGCGCTCAACTGCTGCGCCACCGGGGAGGCCCCTATTTTGTACTTTTAATGTAAGTAAATTATACCAACTAATACAGTTGTCTACATCTATTTCAACATAATGAAACCTAAAAAACCATAATGTTGAGTAGGAAAAAAGGAAAGTATAAATTGATAGAGTATTTATTTGAAAATACTTCAAGTAGGGAGGCAGCAGGAGGATTGATTTCAGGCTTTTAACCCATCATTTCTAAAAATTCAGAATCTGTAATATTAAAAGCCTAAATTCCAGTCTCTTTGTAACTTTGGCTTTCATTATATAATTTGATAGTGCCACAAAAGGTTAACGGTTATTTTACTTAATAGTAATGGTTATTTTATTTGTCAGTTCATCAAAAGGTAATAGTCAAGGATGAAACATCCCAAAACTAATCTCTGACAAGACTGTCAGATGTTCTTTTTTGAGAGAAAAAAAAAAATTGGATGTAATTTTTTTAAGAAGGGGGTCTGCATTTAAAAGGCTATCTTAAATTTTGCATGCAATAGAAAAGTAGGGAAAAGGCACTGGAATTAAAATGTCTGAGATTATAAGCAATATTGCAAAGAGGATGTAAGTGCTTTGTTCACTATTTTAACTGGAAAAATTAAAAGCAAAATAACAAATATCCTTGAAGAGAAAAGCTCTCCCACAGATTCTAAAATTGACATTCCCACCCCTTCCTAACTGACCTCAACTGGATTAACCCAAATAAAAATGAGTAGAAAATAAAGTTCTTAGATGTTTTGGCAATCTCTTTCATGCACTGGATTAAATGATTACAGTAACAGAGATATTCCCCTAAATCTGGCTGCAAATTCTATCAAAACAACCTATAAGTGTTATATGGTATAATTTCAAAAATAGAGACATTCTCCAACCACCCAAAATGCCTTCCCCATTTTGTTGACCTATGTTTAAAAATCTGCTGATGATACTTCCTTTTGGCAGCTCAATCCAAATGTCAATTAACCCCTGGGATACAGAGAATGTGCCTTGTTTTTCTCAATTACATATCCCTTAGTGTGAATGGTCAGTTATCAGGACTCTGGGAACTGCATGTGCATCTTGATGGCAACAGGAGTAAACCAAGATACTTATTAAGAGCTGCTTTTTTTAACAGTCCCAGCTTCTTAATGGGCAAAGAAGACAGGTGTGTATCCTAAAATTAGTCTCATGGGGCATATAAACCTCTGAAATTGTATGTGCACAGATACATTTTTCTGGGAGGAAAGATCTGTAACATTCATTAAACTCCCAAAAGTCCTATGATTCACACGAGGTAAAGAACCTACAAATAACTGAATCAAAGAAACAGGATGCCTGGGCCACCAGATAAATCTATCTTCATTCATACCCTGGAGGTCCTAAGGAGTTTAGGGACACATGTTTATATTAGATACATCTCTAATTTATCTCATATGGTCATTTTTCTTAAGAGATACTGAATAGGGTTGAGGCATGGGATCTCTACTCTCATCTTAGAAAAGTCACAATGTAATCTGTGTACCATATGATTCTTCCAAAGATGTCTCTTCTCCAAGCACCAGGTCTAGATTTTTCTTGACCAGTCTGAAGCAGTCTTATAGCATCTTCTCTTTCCTGAACAACTTTATCTAATGCATCCATAGACTCTATTACCTGAGAAGAGAAAGATACAATTTCAACAATCACCTAAATAATGTCAAAACAAAGAAAAAATAGCTATGGTGGAGAAACCTGACAGACAACACAGTAACCAAATTACTGATGCAGATAACATCAATGAAACAAATCAACAGCCTCTTGATCTGATGCACTGAGAATATGGCATTGCCACGATATTCCTCCCAATCATCACAATTACCATGGGGAATATGTAAACCCAATTGGCCTGTACTATTGAAAAAAGTCATGAAAAACAAAGACTAAGTATAGAGACTAAAGGAAACTAGAGACATATCCAAAAAACCCTCATGCAGGATTTTCATTTACTATAAAGGACATTGGTATGGTAATTGATGAAATCTGAAAAAGTTCTGTAGATAATACTGTCTCTATGTTAATTTTCTGATTTTGAAAATTGTACTTTGGTTATGTGAAGGAAATATATACACTTAAGATTCATGTATGCAATTCTCAAACGGCTGAGGAAAAAGAAAAAAGCAAATGTGATAAAATATTCACAGGCAGATCTAAGTGCATGAGAATTCTTTGCATTATTCTAACTATTCTGTCAGTCTCATATCAAAATAAAGTTTGAAGACCAAAAAATGTTTTGTAACTCAACTTTCACTAAGTCAAAATAACCTTCTCCACGATTACGGCAAATAACGGATTTTATTCCGTACCGCCTTTGACTCTCTCCAGGGATAACAGGCGCTACCCTCTAAGAGGCAGTGTGGCAATCACGGTTGTGAGCAGTATGGGGAAGGGAAACTAAAGCAGCTGAGATTAGACATCAAAACTAACACTACTACAAAAAGCTGAGTTCTGGGCTCACTGACTACTTGCTATGGCACAGGAAAATCAATGATACAGACTTAACCTCAAAAGCAATCTATGAAAAAAAAAAAAAAACCCTAATGAGTCTAACTAAATAAAATATTAAACTTCTATGTGGAAGAAATGTCTTAAACAAGTACAGCTATGAAAAGTATCTATATATACTGATATAGAAAGACATCAGGATATACTAGGTAAGTAGAAAACGCATATTTTCTACAATATAATCAAATTTTATAAATAAAAACAATTAGACACACTGCCACATGCACAGAAAAATTCTAATGGATAAACAGGCAACATGTTTGATTGATTACTTCTAGGAGTAGAACTGCAGAACACGGGATTTTTACTCTTAATGATAAAGAAAATCTAATTAAAAACTGACATTTTCAGAAATGAGAAAATAACACTATAGAACTGTGTTTTAAAATAGTTAGGATTGTAAATTTTGTTGGTTTTTAACCATAATTAAAAAATTTTGAGCCAGTTGGTGAGGAAACAGGATAGAACTAGCAATGTAAAATGGTGCTGCTTACTTTAGAAAAACAGCTTGTGCCTTTTGGCCAGAATGTTTGCCTTCTAGTAATTTGCCAAATGAAAGGAAAGAGGAGAGGAACCCACCATGTACTCTCTGGGCCTTTTAGAAAACTTGAGAGTTGTTCCTTGGCCACATGCATGCAAATCTACAAGAAAGGTGATACTGTAGACACCTAAGGGATGAGCGCTGTTCAAAAAGTAATGCCTAATGTTACCACAGCCAAACTGGAAGAGTCTATGTTACCTTCATGCAGCTGGCATTGTTGTAAACAGACAAGGGCAAGATTCTTGCCAAGGGAAATAACGTTCGTATTGAGCATATTAAGCACACCTCAGAGCTAAGAGAGCTTCCTAAAATGTGTGAAAGAAAATGACCGGAAAAGAAGAAAATGATCAGAAAAGAAAGCCAGCCAGGAGAAAGGTACTGGAGTTCAACTGAAGTGCCAGCCAGCTCCACCCAGAGCAGCACACTTTGTGAGAGACAATGGAAAGGGGCCTGAGCTGCTGGGACCCATTCCCCATGAATTTGTGGCATGCTAGGTATGAAAAAAATAAAAGACTTCTGGACTATAAAAATGTTTCTCTTAATTTAGTAGAAGTGTGATGTCCCCTCTCCAAACTTCTAATTGCATCCTAATTCACTGGATGATGCCTTTAGTCAAATTTAGTGTTTTGCTTGCTGAAAGATGGTGGTTTATTATACAACAAAGAATACATAGTCAATTTTTAAGAACATTGCCAAGTGATATTTATAAAAGATCTATACTCTTTTGAAAATAGTCCCTCTGGAAAAAAAGAATTTAATAAATGAAGTTTATCTGTTGCCTTACCAAAGAAAAAAAATGTTGGCAATTTTTTAAAATGTTAAGCATAGATTTACCACATCATCCAGCGATTTCACTCCTAGCTCTCTACCAATGAAAAATAAGAACATATGTCCACATATATGTTGAAGCTACAGATAGGAATGGGAAGTGACTACAGAATGACATGAAATTTCATTCTGGTATTACGGAAATGTTCTAAAATCAGTAGTTGTACAACTCTATTAAGTTTATTAAAAATGAAGCAGAAACAGAATGAAAGTAATCTACCTGACAAGAAATGTAGGATCATATACACACCTAAACGGAGTTTTATCCCGCACAAAACAGTCTCCAGCCTCCCCCAAATTTTACCTTATCCAACCTCTCTGGACTTGGCATTGGCAAACTCTGCCTCTTGGCCTCCTGCTCTAGAGTCAGGAGCATGTTCCTTTCTTTCAGTAGCACATACCTATATCAAAGGATAAAAAGCTTGTGATTTTATTTGTGGTTATATTAATAAAGTTGTGATTTTTGACATCAAAATTAATGGTCTGTACTTAACAATTTTTTAGAAGTCTTGATATATATAGAACAACATTACAAAGATAATTCCTTTAAACAGATCTGTACTTATGCTTATTCATTTGTTCAAAAAATTTTCCGTATGTCACATATTCTATAAAGTGCCAAAAGAGTTACAAAAAAAGCATAAAACATAGCCTGTACATTCCAACTGGAGAGAAGATGGAAGTAAATAACATTTATTCAGCGCCTGTTTTATGCCAGGCAATGTGCAGAGTTCTTTAAATATATTATTTCATTTAATTCTCACAAAAACCCTTTGAAGTTGGTGCTATTTCCACTTTCTAAATGAAGAAACAAAGGCTGAGAGAAATAAGGCATTCCAGAACACGCAGCTAATTCAGGTACAAATCAGACTCCCTGTGTAAAAACATCTATTCTATTTTTATTCTGCTGCCTCTGAAAGTAAAATGTGATGTGGTATACTGTGGTATAAAATGCAAATACCATAAGAATTAAGCGGGAAAGATGAGGCATCTCTAGCTAAGATGATCAAGGAAAGCTTCATAGAAATGGGACTAAGCTAAGAAGGAAAGCAACATAATCAAAGGTACTAGGAAGGAGTTATAGATAATAAATCATTTCCTATTATCCACGATGAATGAAATAGCCCTAATCATCCCCTTACAGATAATGCAGTCACAGTGTATTAATACAACTTATTTTTCTATAATGAACCTGTGACATTTTACTCCTAACATTTCTGGCTCCAAATGGGATACCTTTCCCCTCTGACACAAAATATATATGTCTTTTCTAACACCACTTCTCGAAGTGTCTGATACTCACAACCTGCAGTTAGCAGCAGATTCCACAGGTTTAACAGTTCAGTCTCACAAGACTATCTCCTAAGTCAGATGTCAACAGCAAGACCCAGGTCTTTGTGTATCTAACTGACCAGAGGTAAATTGATAACAACAGCTGTTCAGTTGTTACCATGAAGGACTACAGCTCTACTGTTGCCAGGTCACAGGTCTGATTATTCAAGAGCCAGAAATCCTTATTTTTATGTAAACTTCCCAATTTGAAAACATAGTACAGTCCAAACAAAATACAAAATTGGGCTAATATAGTCCATTAAAAATACAACCCTGTCGGGCCTCCCCGGTGGCGCAGCGGTTGAGCGCTGGCTTGCGAAGCTGCCTGCAGCCTCTGCAGCGCCGGTTTGATCCCCGGCTGCTCCCCGGCCACCAGAGGAGGGTCCCACATGGCGCGCAGACCTCTTCTGTCACCCGCTGCTCCCCTCAGCAGTGTACTTCGTCACTCTGCCTGTTCTACTCTCCGCTCTGGCTCTGGTGAATTCTCTCACCCTCCCACACTTCTGACTGTACCCAGTGCTTGTATAAATAAATAAATAAATCTTAAAAAAAAAAAAAAATACAACCCTGTCTTAGATCCTATCACCCTCTCTATCAGGAGAACCCAGCAGAAAAAGCTACACATATTACCAACTAGAAGCACCCTCCAACATACTTTCCCAAAGAATTTAAATTAAAGATCCCAGACAGGCAAAAGGTAATAGGAGAAAGATCAAAATGTGACCAACTATTTATTTCACATTTAATTTTACCAGTTTGGTTGGTGGGAGTGCAAACTGGTCCAACCACTATGGAGAGGTGTGTGGAGATTTCTTGACCTACTAAACATAGAGCTTCCATATGATCCAGCAATTCCACTCCTAGGTATTTACCCAAAGGACACAGAAACATCAATTCCAAAGAGCACCTGCACCCCTATGTTTATAGCAGCACTGTTTACAATAGCTAAGCTTTGGAAACAACCCAAATGCCCAAAAATAGATGACTGGATCAAGAAGATGTGGTACATATACACCATGGAATATTACTCAGCATTCAAAAAAGATAAACACATGCAATTTGCAGCAACATGGATGGCGCTGGAAGGGATCATGCTCAGCGAAACAAGCCAGAAAGAAAAAGAAAAATACCGGATGGTCTCACTCATAGCAGGAATCTAGAAAACTTAAATAAGGAACCAGGAAAATGAATAACTATAAGAAAGTGAAAATCAAAATCAACAAACAACTATGAAGCAGAGACTCTCTATGGGGGCTGGGGGGTGGGGAAAGGAGGGCTTGTGGTCAAAATAAGGGGGTTGCAATTGCATGGGGAATATAAAAATAAAATTTATATAAAAAAAAAACCCCACAGCTAAAAAAAAAAAAATAATTTTACCAGTTTGCTGAAGCTGTAGGTATAAAGATACTATTATGGTTAGTAGTAATAGTTAAAATTCTATACCCTTAACTACTTAAGAATTCTGACATATTTGTCTAAATGAAACCTAATCCTTCATACTAATAAAAATCTTCTACAATTTTATGTATCACATATATCATTCACAAAACTATAAGACAAAACACTTCACTCAATTTCTTACATCAGAGAGATATACAGCTTATACCTGTTTACACTGTAACTGTTTCAAACACCTAGATGCTAATGTACTTAGTATACTTACCAAAGTTTATGTAAATCTTCATTACTTTTGTTCCTTAATTGCTGACAGGTCCATGAAGCTCCTATTAAAATGATAAATTCCTAAGATGAAATAATTTTCTAGCTATGTATCCTTTGGTAAGTTACTTAACCTCACTAAAACTGTTTCCTTACTTGTAAAATGTATAATCGCCTTATTATATCCATAGTATAATATGTAATTAAGATTAAATTGGGGTTACTCTAGATAACATGAGAAAATATTGATGCTAGCAATAGCATTCAAAAATGTTAACATTAATACAGAATTTTCACAATAACATCAAAATACTTTATATAATTGTCAATGATCTCTAAAAAAGTGAAATCTAAAACAAACCCCAAACCTCACTTCACTTAATAATTTTAATCTGCTCCTCTTCTAAACTTCTTGTCAACCTGCCAAGGAACAACTAACACTACTATTAGACAATCCTTTTAGTTTTCTCTACTAGATGTTCCCAAAGGAAACACAAAATAATTCCCAAACTGGATAATCCCAAAAGGTTGCAAGATTCAATAAATATTTTCAATAATGACTAACCCAAATATCTCACCAGATTTCACTTTTTCTTGACCCCAGTTCTTTGGGTCATCAAAAAATTCTTCCAGTCCTTTCCTTGACAACGTGGTATGAATTAATCTACACTGGTTAAAAGATGGGACATCAGTTGTATTCTTAGGCAACAAATTAAGAGAAAACCTGCAATTGAAATACATAAATGAGTCCTTAGAATTTTACAACATCTGAATTTTATAAGCAATAACTAGAACATTTCCTCATTTATAATGATAAAAATCATACTCAGAGTTTCTGCACAGGAAAAATTATATTTTACAATATGTAAAGTGCCTGAGAAATTATTTTTAACATTATATTTCAGATGTTACTACCCTATAATTTCAGAGGTTAATATATTCACATAATTTTAAAGGTAATACATTAAATAATTGTATTTTTAAGGTAACATTTTTAGGTCCTTCATACACTGCCAGAGAATGTATAAGCAGATAAAAACAATCTGAAGGTTAATTTTGCAACACGTATCAGAGGCTCAAAATACTTGCCTCTTAACCCAGTAACTCCTCATCTGAAAACCTCAATTGAAGAAATTTATCATAGACAGGAATTTAAAAGTTAAAGTGCATATAAAAGCATTGCATATGATATTTAAAAAGTTGATAATGTAAATGCGCAACTGGGGAATGGTTAAAAAAATCTAATGTGCATTCGTATGATAAATTATTACACAGTTATTTTAAAAATCACGTTTTCAAAGAGCCTCTAAAGATCTGGGGAAATAATTTAAAGGAAAACAGTGAGATGTGTCACTGAAGTGTATCACAAGTGCCATATCCCTAACAAAAATATTTAACCTGAAACTAATCATGAAGAAGCAATCAGACAAATCCAAATGAAGAAATAATCTAAGAAGTTTGATCTTATCAAAAATGTCAATGTCCTGAAAGAAACATTTTCTGAATCAAAGGACATGAAAGAGATGTGACATGCAATAAAATACCACTGACTGGGTCCTGAATAAAAAGGAAAATAAAATGAAATTACCAAGACAATCAATATTTGAAATTGCACTGCACGCTAGATAATAAAAGTGCAGTCAGAGTAACATACTGATATTTAAATATCCCAATTCAATCACTGTAGTATTGTGGTTACTAAGACAGTTTTCTTGTTCTTAGAACATATATGTTGAATTGTCATGTTTGCAGTTCTGACATGCCTCAAGTAGTGCAGGAAAAAAGCATGGCTATAAAAAGAAAATGTGACAATATGTTAAAGACTGTTAACATCAGTGAAGAGTACATATTTTTTTTTACTATTCTTAAGACTTTTTCCATTGGTTAGAAATTTTTAAAAATAAAAAGTTGGGGAAACAAGAGTAGAACATAAAAAAGCATAAGTAAATATTACTATGATTTTAAGAATATGTGTATAGATGCAAAATTTTAAAAAATGGAAGAAAATATGGTTTTTCTCTGAGAAAAAAATTTTACTTTCTTATTCAAAATACTTTACCCATTTTCCAAAGTGTCTGAAAATGGACATGTTTCATTTTATAATAATAAAAATCTAAACTAAATTTTTAAAGAAAAAGGACAATGAGATGGCAGAGACAGTTAATCAAAGCTTGTCACCCTGATGAAGTTACAACCTCTGGGCTTCCGCAAAATGAAAAAAAATGCATATATTCCTTACTCTGAGATGAGTCTAAGCAGTAATATAATAAATAGCACATGATAGGTGCTCAACAATTGTGTTGAATTCAAGAGCATAATTACCCTTATGAACTACACTTGGTAAATTACAATACCTTTAAAAATCCGACACATCCAATTATTTATAAAAATCAATTCATTATGAACGAATGCCAATAAATTGGAGGAAACCATACACCCTAAGCAAAAAAGAAAAGCAGTCCAGAAGACCGGCTGTGCTTCCAGAAATAATGATATCATGGGTAGGGTGTTTCTCACACTGCAGGGCGACTTTCCGTTTATTTAATAACCAACTTTCGTTTACCCACTCAACATTTACTGAATAATGTGGTGATAGAGTCTGGAAGTATAAAAGCTCCCGACAGAGTGCTGGTCCTTGGCCAAAAGCTCTTCAGAGAAGTTTCTTCCACCCAGCCCAAAAGGATGCTTCTGTACCTCTAAGCTTCAAATACTGGGGATATGCAGACTCCCTGCACTGACAGGTTTACAGTAAACGGCAAAAAGTGTTTTAGGAGGGAGTGGAAATGCATGAGGTGGGCAAGTTCTCCAAGGTCACGCACTCCTCACGGAGGTGTAATCAACGGCTCAGCCATTCCTGCCGCCTTCGCATCCCCGAGCTGATCTCAGCATCTCAGCAAACCACCAAGCCCCAGAATTGGAGAGATGGACAATTTCTACTCCTCTCATCACTTAAATCACTTACCCTGTGCCACCGGGGGCCTGAAGACCTATTAACGACCTAGAAATCTTCAGAGTAGCTGATAACTTCCTGCAAAGAACGGCTACACTGGCGGCAGCCATCTTTTCGCGTAAGTAAGCAAACCGTGTTTCCGTCAACATGACGTCACTTCCCGTGGAGCGAACTGGAACAGGATTTGCCCTCATCCAATATGGCCACCTTTAGCCTTCGCCCTTATTGGTAAATTGGCTTTCTCGGCTCCCGTTATTCTCCCCCCTTTCCGTATTGCCCGTAGTAGTCATGGCGGCCATGAGTTTGCTGCAGCGGGCTTCGGCCACTGCTGTGGCTGCACTGTCTGGCCGCCGACTCGGCACTCAACTTGGATTTGGGGGCTTCCTCACTCGTGGCTTTCCGAAGACTGTCGGTGAGTGCTGGCGCTGGGAGAAAGCGCGTGCAGGGAGAGCGGGATAGGAGATGGAGGACTTTCCCCCGGTGACCTTGGTGGGGTCTGGGAGAGACTGAATGTTTGGGGCCTGAGGAGAGATTGGAGCATGGGATCTGTAAGGAAATTGAGGGTTTTCTTAACCAGATCGATCGCGTTTAAATTATAATTAGCATTTGTGAGGCACTTTGCCTCTCAACTACCCAATTTGGTACTAATTTGCAGATGAAGGTGGGATTAGAAAGAGTAGAATTCCCAGGCACCAGGTTATTTGTACATTCCACTTGTCCTGGGTCTCTGGATCCACAGGTAAGAAGTCATGTTGCTGAGGAACCTTGAGAGGCTAAGCTGTCAGGCAGGTGGGGATACTCAGCGTTGCCCTAGTAGGTACAGTGCCTACATGTAGTTTTAAGGGGCCCAAGAATTTATTTTTTAATTTATTTCATTTAAAGTCAGGAGAAGAAAAAGTCTGTAATGTTAATGAATGAATAATAATAAATCCAGACTGGATTGTATTCGTTTTATATCAACACAGTTATGAAATGGAATTATTAACATTGTCTTAGAAAGAAAGGGGCTCATAAGGAAAAGTGCCTAATTCCTAAGAATGTCACAGTGCAGTTAGTGTTATAGGGCAACCCCGATATAAAATAAAACGGGTTACCTGGCTGTGGGTCCTCACCCGCGCGCTTAAAAGGGACTTATTAATACTCCACTACAGGCACACACAAAAGGTTAATAAAAGGTTTATTTACAAGGGAAAGGGAATTGGGGAAATGTACAACTCAGGGAGAAAATAGGGAAATAAAGTCTTTAATGCGTCCTACCCGATCCACCGACCTGGAAACCCAAAGGCACTCTCAGAGTTGGCCCAGCCTGCGAGCTGGCAGGGAGCCAAAATGGGGTATCCCCTCCAAAGCCCACGTGTCTGGCTTTATACCACACCTGGCTGCTTAACCCCACCCTCAGGTCCCAGCCACCTTCCCTTTGGTGGTGATGGGATTTGGAGTTCCCAGTGTCTTTTGGCTTTGGTCTGGAGTGGGGGGTGGAGTCTACAAAGCCTGTATGGAATTAGCTTTAGGACATCCTTTTCCCCCTAACAATTAAGGAAAAGTGCCTAATTCCTAAGAATGTCACAGTGCAGTTAGGAGAGGGATCTCTGGAATCTTTTGCAGGGGACTATGGGTTGAATTCTAAGGGTGTGCTTTATGTCAGTCTGTCTTTCAAGGACTCTGCAAAGTGCAATGTTATCCGCATTTTACAGATGAGGAAACTGACTTAGTTGTAACCGAAATCCTACACTACTGTGCCAAATTTCATGACAAAAACAATGACAGCTAACATTTATTGAGCATTCGTGACATGCCAGGCACCATTCTGAATCTTTAAAGGTATTCATCTACTTGATCAAAGATATACTGTAAGCTGTTTGTCCTATGCAATGCAAATAAAAAGGAAGTGAAATTTAAAGCCAAAAAGATCACCTCCAACTTCAAAATATCTTTTTCTACTAATCTGTCTTCTCCCAATTTAATCATGTCAGTTCACATAATGAGGTGGTATGGATAGAGACTTTCTGGAAAAATAATGGAAAGATCGCTGGTATTCAACAAATTTCCAGCTAGAATTTGAACTTGTTTTAAAACTACATGGATTAACATTCCTTGATAAAACCTCTTTGTAAGCCATTTGTTATTATAAATACTCCCCTATTCAAATACTTCTTGGATGATACTTAATCATGCCTAGCTGAAGGTAAACTGAGGTAAAATTTCACCCTTAGTTCCTCTTTATACACTATTTCCCATTTTTAGATAGAAAGATCATTACAGGTAGTCTCTGCCCTTTTCAGTGGGAGAAGGAAAGTATTAATAGCTGTATTGGCTGTGTTTTAGCCAGTGTTTTACTGGCTTTCAAAGGTATCTTGCATGTGAATCACTGCAAATGAAAGATTTTCTTCTGTGTATTATTGTTTATGTAGGCTCTGGTAGGGTAGAGAGCCTCATCATATTTTGTTTCTTCTGGAGCCAGGCTACCTGCAATCAAATCCTGGCTTCAGAGTTTAGTAGTTTTGTAACCTTGGGTTATCACACCTTGTAGGCTAAGTGGATGCATGTACTTGCTCAGAACCTGCAATTCTTCATTTTTGTTTTTTTAAAAAGAGGATCCTTATATTTTGTGCTTATATTCTTGACTGGAAAATAAAATAAAACAAATCATTTTCCTATTGACAAGTATTTATAACCCAAATGTATTTCTATATAATTTTGCATAGTTCTAGAATTCTCATTTTGAAATGAACTGGGCTCTTACCATAAGAACTACAGAAAAAAAATAATTTGGGGGCCTCCCTGGTGGCGCAAGGGGTTAAGTCTCAGCACTATGAAGCTATCTGCAGCCACTGCAGCTTGAACTCTATCTCCTGTGAGGGAGCTCACCCACATGGCGCAGCAGACCTCTCCTGTCTTGCCCACTGTTCCCCTCAGCAGTGTATTTCAGTCATTCCTCCTGTTCTGCTCCCCACTCTGTCTCTGGTGAATCCTCTCACCCTCCTGCACCTCTGGCCTACACCCCAGCTCTTGTATGCATAAAAAATAAATCTTTTTAAAAAAGAATAAAAAATGGTAATTTTAATCTATTTCCTAAACTATTTGTGAAAAGTTGGAAAAATCTATAACACCAAAGCATTAGCCTTCTACAGGGCCCTGTGGCCACATCTTTCTTACTGTCATGCTGTCTTCATTCACCTTCACTGAAAAACCTTTGTCAAAATGAGCAGTTATGTGTATTTCCTCTTATGATAAAAAGCTGAGATAAGTATTAAAAATAGATATTATAAACAAAGTGGTGTGGAGTTTGAGGCTCAGGAATATCACAGTTGTCAAAACTTAAGTTATTGCATTTTTAAAAAATGGTTATTGAAGCCTTAATTCCATATAATGAGCAACAGTTGAGAAATTTCAGGCTTTAGAGAGTGGTGAAAGATACCTTTCTGGTGGTAGGAGGGCCTGAGTTTCAGAAATCTGATAGTAAGCAATGTTTGCCCTAATATTTTAAGTATAAGCAGATGTCTGCAATTACTGAAGCTTAGAATATTTAAAAAGACTTTAGTGCTATAAAATGTACTTTGAAACGATTTCTAATAAACATTTATTTAGCACATTTAATGACATCATTGTTATTTAATCATATGGTAATTATATGTAAAGAAAGCAACAGTAGGGCCTTCCTGTGATGCAAGGGGTTAAGCATAGCACTGTGAAGCTTTTTGCAGCCTCTGCTGCACAAGTTTGATCCCCGGCCAGGGAGCTACCCACACGGTGCAGCAGACCTCTCCTGTCTCGCCCACTGCTCCCCTCAGCAGTGTATTTCAGTCATTCTGCCTGTTCTGTTCCCCACTCTGTCTCTGGTGAATCCTCTCACCCGCTGCATCTCTGGCCTGTACCCCAGTTCTTGTATTCACAAATAAATAAAAATCTTAAAAAAAAAAAAAGCAACAGTACTCACTGCATTAATATTACTAGAATGCAGCCAGACCAAGCTTTCTTCCAGTCCTTTTTTTATTTGTTAACATTTTACGTATCTATTAATAGTGCCAATCATAATCAGTGTTCCCCAGCCACATAGAGTTTAATCTATATCTCTTTATGGCTTTCTTTTTTGCATGGTGTGTGACTGTGCATGTGTGTATCTGTCTGTCTGTCTTCTGTCTGATTGAAAGGAAAAGCTAGGTGTATACTACCTAATGAGTAATTTACTTTTAGAGACTAAGGAATATTTAATTTACTCAAGAAATGTAAATTCAATTTTTATGGAGGAACTACCATGTGATAGACACCAAAGGGTACTGGAGATACAGTACTAATAAGACATTCTCTGACCTGATGGACTTTAACAAAATAATTAGGATTCGTAGTGCTTGTTCTTTGTTCTAAATGAAATAGCCAAATGATATTAAGGAGAATACATGGGAAGCAACTTTGGATAGGATAGTCAGTGAAGATGACTTTGAGCAGGTAAATTTGTTAGTAGCCTTGAAGGATGTGGTACAGAGGCAGCCATTCAAAGAAGCTGAGGAAAACTTTGAGGCAAAGGGAAAAGTGCAGATACCTGAAGGCAGCAAACTGTTCTGGGAATTGGAAGGAAACCATTGAATTTGATGAGTTGGAAAGCTTTTGCCCTTGCACTCTAAAAGAGGCCATATATTCAGATTCTTTGAGGGAAAGTCTTTGAGGCTTACCTCCTACATTAATATGTTAATCTGTGTTGTACCGTTATTGATAATGAATAACTTGTTGGGAGGGTAGTCCAGTTTAATTTTTAATAGCAGTAAGTGGTAGAGTCTTCTTCCTTGTATTAAGCTGAACATTACTTCTTGACACATTGAAGCTCAGCACACAATAAGCCCTTTGTCATGGGACAGTCCTTCAGTTATTTATAGATACTTCTCTGGTCTCTGGCCAGATTCCTTCTTTTATACGCCAATCACCTCAGTGCTTACAGTTTCAATATGTCAGTTTTCAAGTTGTTTGCCAGCCTAGGGTCTGAGTTGGAACTTGCTCCAGATTGTCCTTCTGTTAGGGGGAAAAGGATGACCTAAAGCTAATTAATTCCATACAAGCTTTGTGGACTCCACCCCCAACTCCAGACCAAAGCCAAAAGACACTGGGAACTCCAAATCCCATCACCACCAAAGGGAAGGTTGCTGGAACCTGAGGGTGGGGTTAAGCAGCCAGGTTTGGTATAAAACCGGACACTTGGGCTTTGGAGAGGGTCCCCCATTTTGGCTCTCCGCCAGCTCACAGCACGCGGCCAGCTGAGAGTGCCTTTGGGTTTCCAGGTGGGCGGATTGGGTAGGACGCATTAAAGACTTTATTTCCCTATTTTCTCCCTGAGTTGTACATTTCCTTAATTCTCTTTCCCTTGTAAATAAACCTTTTATAGACCTTTTGTGTATGCCTGTAGTGGAGTATTAATAAGTCCCTTTTAAGCACGCGGGTGAGGACCCACGGCCAGACAACCCGTTTTATATCGGGGTTGCTCCGTAACACTTATAAAAGAGTACTCTGGGACAGACATACCTCTGTATGGAGATGTTAGGGGATGGGGATGAGGGCATCTCCTGTTTTGACCCTGTACTTCTAGTACATCAGCTTAAGATTGAATTTACCTTTGGCTTTTCAAGTAAACATATCACACCAACAACTCTTCTTTAGTTGGTGGACAAGTAAACTTTTGGGGGTCCAAGCAGGACTTTCCACTTACTATGTTTAATCTTTTTTAGATTCAGACTTTTATAATGTATATGAAGATTTTGGGGGGACCCCATTTCATTATCATTGTAGTAGTCGCTCTTGTGGCAGTAGCTTTGTGTCTTTGTCAGGAATGACATCTCCACCTCATCCAGCCTTTCATAGAACTCTTGAACCCAGCAGGGCTATCAAGAGAGCCCTTTAGCAGGTTGCTGCAGTGATTAATCCACACCTTAGATATATTTTATCATTAAATAAAAATGTGGGGATCTGTAGGTGTGAACAGTACATCAATCTCTGTTTAAAGATACCCTATCCTCCCAGTCTCTGGTACTCAAGGAAGCATGCACTTTTTTTCTTAATTCATATTAAATATTTATGTGTTTGCATTTTCTTTAATGATTTTACCTCACAATATTACAGTGTACCCATATGAACCTGTATAAAACAGGGTAATTTAATACTTCCAGCTCCTGTTCGACACAGTGGAGACCATGGGAAGAGACTGTTTATCATCAAACCTTCTGGATACTATGACAAGCGGTTTTTGCACTTAATGGTGAGTTAAACATTTTGAGCTAAACATTTTTTTGCTTGCTTAGAAAATGTCTTATTTACAAAAGATTTTATTTTGTAGATTCATACTTCTTTTTTCAAAAGATAGACTGAGATTGTATACTGAGCGTCACCAGATAAGGTAGTGGGCCTGGGACCTGTCAGCCTGGCCATTGCTCCATTCACTGGAAATCAGAGGATAGACTGAGGAGCCCTGCAGGAAAGGGCTCTTTGAGAATTCTACCGCTGAACCATGACCCTGCACCAACTAAAGGGGCTCTTTGAGATCCTCTGGTCAAGATTGAGAAGAGGACTCTATAGACAATTGTGAGGGCAGGCAAGGAGTCAGCCTTTACTGATTAGCAAAAACAACAAGGAAGGAGAACTCTGGGGAGACCTTTCTGGGTATGAAAAAGATTCCCTGAGGTGCTGGGGCTAGGATTCTGTGCAGATCTGGGGTTTGAGAACAAAAGATTTAAACTTTATTGGCTGAGAAAGCAAGGAGAATTGACTTGGCTAACATCCATTTCTTGTTGCTAATTGTGGGCACCGATCAGCTGCAGCTCAATGCATGCAGGACTCCTGACTGTCTCCAGGGTGAACATTTCATGGAGGCTGTATGTCTGCAGCTCCAGTTTGAACTGGTCTGGTCTCAAGGTCTATGACTCTTTTCTTCTGTGTCTGTAACTTCCCTTTTTTCACAGCAGTCAAGTTGATAAGCTGTGGAGAGATAACTTAGGAATGCCCAGACTGGGGGGAAATTAGTATTAGAAAACAGCAGGCCAGGAACTTTATGGCAGCAGGTGTCTGGGTCTAGAATCATCAGGTTTTTAACCTGTTGTTTACCAGCCCATGGGAACAGCAGACTTTTGTCCTTGAGTCCTTGTCTGTCTTTGTCCTGAGACCCTTTCTGTCTCAGTAAGGTCTGACTTGTTACTGAAAATCATTCTAAAATAGTGAACCTTTCATTCCTCAGAAAAAGGATTTATGCTAAGTGAAAGTAAAATTAAGCCATTCTTTCTTCTCAAGATTATAGGGTTTTGAAATATAATCTGTTTCCTGCTTGAAGATTAAAAAAAGATTCCACAAACTACAAAACTTTGAAAACGGATTCATTGGGAATAATTATTTGTATTACTAAGATACTCTTTAAATTACCAAAAGCTTAGGAAATGACTATTCTAAATGAGGAATTTCATTATTTGGGAACATGTTATTTCTGTGTTATTCAGCAACATTGTTTTCAGAGGGTAAAACTACTATGCTGTGTGTATTTATGTGTCTCAAGACTCTGTAAAGAAAAGTGGAGACTTGGAAAAATGGAAGATTGCTTGGACACTGCTGCTGGTCCTCAAACCCACCATTTGAGCATTTGCTGTCCTCTAGGCTTTCTTTTACTCTCACTGAGCTTCTTGTCTCTCTCCATTATCTTGGTTAAGAATCTGCTTTTCTTGGTCCTGTGCAAGTCAAACTCTAGACAGTGGTTGAAACCATCTTATTGTTTTTACACTTCTTTGTACAAAATTTTCAGACTTCATTACAATGCTTTCACCAAAAAAGTGGGAAAAAAACTCTTAATAAATATAGATTGTATTATACTTGTACAATTAATCCTTACTTTTTTCTTTCATTTTTGGTATTAAATACAGAGATCTAAAAGTTAGAGCAAAAGACAATCACAGAAATAAATAATACTGCATTTCCAATTTGGCAAATTTATTTTCTAAGAAATATAAGGAAATCACATAATTATGACAGTTTGAGGGTAAGAAAAGAGAGTCAGGAGAGGCTTGTGTCAAAACTTATTCTCTTGCGGGCATATAACATACATACCAGGTTTCTTCTAAGGAAGGTTCATTTATACTCTTTCAGTTATAAGCCATACCCAGCTGCTCTTTTTTTCCTAATGGATTCACTTTAAAAAAATTGATTTATGTATACTGTATAATAACCATAATATTGATATATAATAAATAGTGATTATATTCCAGGTGCATTTATAAGTACCCAACATATTTAATATTTATAACAACCCCATTGTGGTTTCTAAATAACGTCCCCCCAACAGTGTCCACATCCTGATCCTAGAAATCTGTGAATCTCGTATTTCAAAAGATAAAAGAAATTTTGCAGATGTGATTAAGGATTTTGAGATGGGGGTGATTTTCCTCGATTATCTAAGTGGGACCAATGTAACCATGCAAGTCCTTATAAGAGTGGGGCAGGAGGGCAAGGTAAAAAGCAGATGTGCGCTGCTAACTTTGAAGATGGAGGAAGAGGCTTCGAGTCAGGAAATGTAGCCAGTCTTTAGAATGTGGAAAAGGGGAGGAAACAGATTGTCCTTGTAGGCATCTAAAAGGAATTTAGTACTGTGGACTAATTTTAGACTCTGACCTTCAGAACTGTAAGATAATAAGTATGTGTTGGTTTAAGCCACTAGATTCGTGGTAATCTGTTACAGCAGCCATAGAAAAGTAATAAATATATATATATATATCATATTAGATATTCTATTGTTCCCATTCACAAAGGAAAACTTTTTTTTTATCTGAACAGAAATTCTACATTTTGTTGACTGGGATTCCAGTAGCAATTGGAATAACTCTGGTGAATGTATTCATTGGTAAGTCCTTCCCACCCCACCCCACCCTAACCAAATTTGTAAATTTTAAAAACCTATGTACATTAATTTTAAAAAATGGATTATAATGAAAAGCTCTTTAAATAATAAGATAAACATAAGCATGGGATTTTACTTTTAAATAACCAAATCTTAAACTGAAATAGTATAAATATTTTTTAAACATGTCTGTTTTCCCTCCAAAAACTTAGTCACTGATTCCCTAGAGATCACATTAAAAAAAACTTCAGAAAGCCTGTCTTCTCATTTCCAGTTTCAAAACCAGCCTTGACCAGTCAGATTAAGGCAAATAGAGATGGGGGTAGAAGGTAGGCTGAGAGAGAAAAGAATTTTTTATCCACCCTGGAACATACAGAATTATTATTTTACAGAGAATGGAGTTGTGAATGATAGTAAATATTACATTTACGTGAGAAATTCTGCTCAAAGTACTTCTAATATCTTGAATCCTAAAATGTTTCATCTAGTAGATTTAGCAGGTTTAGGGAAAATCAGAAGGAGTAATACATCTTTTATTGTATCTTGTTACACAATGTATAAAAACAAAATGGGAAACTCCCATATAATGCTATAACAATTCCTTACACAGAAAAACATTAGAAAGACTGATGAATGAATTTTCAACCAGATTGAAGTCACTCTAATGTATTAGAGATTTTCACTGATACAAATAAAAGATTTTTAAAACCATGGGAAGTTGATTTTTTCACTTAAATAGTAATTAGTATTATCAACTCCTGATACTAAGGTTGTACATCACTATTTTTTCTTATTAGGTGAAGCTGAGTTAGCAGAAATTCCAGAAGGCTATATCCCAGAACACTGGGAATATTTCAAGGTTGGTGTATAAGTCATTGAAAGTTACTTTCTGTCAGATGTCACATCAATGCCCTGGTTAATGTCTTCATTCAGCAATTATGATAGTTTTGTAATCAATTTTTGATACCAAGTAGATGATGTATATTTTGTCCACTTTTTAATAAACATCTCTCTGGGTAATTTTCTGCAGGTTTTATTTTAAGCTTTTTTGTTTTTTAAAGAATGATTCTGTGTGTGTTCTCTAACTAAGCGGAATAACAATCAGAATTTATTCTAAGTTCAATGCCATAGAAAATATTTTATCAATATTAATGCCAGTAATACTGATACTAACAGAATTCTTAGTTATATCTGATTTTATCACTAGTTTTCATCCGAATCTATTGGTGTATGGGATGATTCTACTTTTGTTTCTTGACCAGGAATCACTTGATCCTTAAAAGTCTTGTGAGAAGACGAGGCAAGGAACAAAGTCAACTGTCTTCAATGTTAAATCTTAAGAAAAATTATACATTTAGTTTTTCTGTGCATCTTGTGGAAAACTTCCTTTTTGGGTTCACCAAACCCTGGGTTTTGCTCCTAAATCTGTCGCTGAAGATACTGTAGTGTAACTGGAGAGAGCACAGATTTTGGTGTCATACAAACCTGATTTGAGTCTAGATGCTGCCACTTTGTAACTCTCTAACTTTGTGCATTTTTTTTTTTAATTAATTTATTTAGGGCCTCCCCGGTGGCGCAGCGGCTGAGCGCTGGGCTGCGAATCTGCCCGCGGCCTCTGCGGCGCTGGTTCGATCCCCGGCTGCTGGAGAGGGTCCCGCATGGCGCGCAGACCTCTGCTGCCGCCCGCTGCTCCCCTCGGCGGTGTGCTTCGGTCCTTCTGCCTGCTCTGCTGGCCTGCTCTGGCTCTGGTGAATTCTCTCACCCTCCTGTGCTTCTGACTGTGCCCAGTGCTTGTATAAATAAATGGATAAATCTTTTAAAAAAAAAAAAAATTAATTTATTTATACAAGCACTGGGTACAGTCAGAGGCATGCGAGGGTGAGAGAATTCACCAGAGCCAGAGCGGAGAATAGAACAGGCAGAGTGACGAAGTACACTGCTGAGGGGAGCAGTGGGCGGCAGGAGAGATCTGTCGTGCCATGTGGGACCCTCGCCCAGCGGCCGGGGATCGAACTGGTGCTATGGGCAGCTTCTCAGCCCAGCGCTCAACCGCTGCGCCACTGGGGAGGTCCACTTTGTGTATTCTTGATCTATCAAATGGGGATAGACGTATTATCCGCCTAATGGGTTAAAATTATTTAAATATATAAATTATTTTAAATAATTTAATATTAAAATTATTTTTAAAAATATAGAAAACATTTGGCACATTTTAATTTACTGGTTTGACATAGTCACTTTCAGGAGTAATAAACTGGAAAAGCAAAGTACTATTCAGAATCTGACTAATTTTAAATAAATTTTCTCTTACAGCATCCTATATCAAGATGGATTGCCCGTACTTTCTATGATGGTCCTGAAAAGAACTATGAAAAAACAATGGCTATCCTTCAAATTGAAGCTGAAAAGGCTGAATTACGGTAAAAGACGGGAGGGAGGGTTTAGAGGGCAGAATAGAAAATCCTTTCCAATGGCTACAAATTCCAACACTTTAGGATGCTCTACAAAAAGGATGAAAATGGGAAGAGAATTGACCTTTTTAGAGTAGAGATTATAAATTGGAGACTAGGACACTATTAGGAGATAGTATCTGTCAGATTGAAAAGAATTCTTTCTTAAAATATCCCACTCTTGGGCCTCCCTGGTGGCACAAGGGGTTAAACACAGCACTATGAAGCAATCCACAGTCTCTGCAGCATGAGTTCGATCCCCGGCCAGCCAGGGAGCAACCCACATAGCGCAGCAGACCTCTCCTGTCTCGCCCGCTGCTCCCCTCAGCAGTGTACTTCAGTCTGTCTGCCTGGCCTGTTCCCCACTCTGTCTCTGGTGAATCCTCTCACCTCCCGCATCTCTGGCCTGTACCCATTTCTTGTATGCATAAATAAATAAATCTCTTAAAAAAAAATCCCACTCTTTCCTCTCTCCTTTCCTCCAGTTTCCTTTTCTCCTGCACCCAGTTTTTTCCTTTGAGGTGGCCATCATTTGATAATTTCTTACATATATTCCTAGAAAAAATTTTATCAAAAGATATATTTTATATATCTTTTAAAAATATGGTAACACAAATGAAATCCTCATAAATACTGCTCTGTGTCTTGTCTCTTTTTCACTTAAATTTATCTTGGTGCTCCTTCTATAACTATATAACCACATTTTTCTTCATGGCCGCATCATCAATATCATTGGATGGATAAGCCTTCATTTTCTTAACGTCCTGTATTGTTCTTTCCCCGTTCCTTTGATATGCTATATAATGCTCTGGTGAATATCCTCTTATCCATGCGTGTGTGTAGGTGTTTATATTATAGCAGTGACACTGAGAAGCCAAATGTTATGTTTTAAGTTCTGATTCAGTAGTACCAAACTCTTCTCCAAAAAAAAAGTCAGTTGTCTTTTTTGACACCAGTGTAACTTTTTCTTCACATCTTTTCCAGTAATGGAATTTATCAAACCTAAATATTTTTTTTAATTTTTAATTCTTTCTTTATTTGGGTGGAAGAGCTGGGGTGTAGGCCAGAAATGTAGGGAGATGAGAGGATTCACTAGAGACAGAGCAGAACAGGAGGATTTACTGAAATATACTGCTAAGGAGAGCAGCAGGCGAGACAGGAGAGGTCTGCTGCACCATGTGGGTCAGCTCCCTGGCCAGGGATCAAACTTAAGCCATTGTGGTGATAACGCTGAGACTTAATCCCAAGGCAACCAGGGAGGACCTTTTAACCTAAATATTTTTTCTGTTAAGATTGTTGATAATGTTATGAAAAAACCTCATCATTTCAGTTTTTTTGTTTGTTTGCTTATTTTTGAATATCTACTGGTCGTTTCTTTTTCTACAAATTGCCTGTTTTTCTAATTCAAGAACCCTCTTTAGTTTTTGTTGCAGATATGCTTCTCAGCTTGTAGCTTATATTTTAACAGGGTAGAATCTTTTATAACAGAAATATTTTTATGTTTCAAACAAAACTGTAGCAGTAGCCTAATGATGTTTTTGAACACTAACTATGGGCCAGTGGTTTAATTGCTTGTATTTGTTGTTTATTGTCAGGTTTGTCAGTCTTTCTCTTTCTGGAATTTTAAGTCATGCTTAGGCATCTCATAAATGTGTGTGTGTGTGTGTGTATAAATAAGTAAATATATAAGTCCAAAATTAGCTTTTTAAATATTCACTCATGTTTCATTTTGCTGCTTTTAAATTTGACCCTATCTGAAATATATCATGGTGTTTGAAATAGGTTTACATATAATCAGATATATCCATTAAATTCAGTACAATTACTCAATAAATTTGAAAACAGTATATAGCTGTATAAACTGCCATAATCAAGGTCGTTTCAATTGCCCTTGAACCTCTTTCCTGTCCTTGTGGTCAATCCCTAACCCCTACTCTTGACCCTAGGCTACCATTGATCTGCTTTCAGTTTGTTTGTTTTTTTAAACTTTGTTGCTTATAAGAACTGCTATGATACTGAAGATATTGGAATATAATTAAATTATTAAGATACTGCATAACTTGCTTGTTTTCTGCATATATATCAATAGTTATATATAGTTACCATATAGAACTTTTATTAAGTATTTAAGAGCATGGAATAGCAATGTTGTTCGTGAAAGAAGGAAATTGATCTCTATTCTCTACAGAGAGATTATGCAGTTTGTTAGCAAGGATATGGACAAGAAAATAGATCTTAGAGTTGGAGAATATTTTTCTTAATCCTAGTTTTTCTTTATAAATATTGATCATTTGATGTTAATTAGGCTGGTGAATTACATGTCTTAGTCTGTCCTGTTGGTGATGGGCAGCCTCTATAGACAGGATGGGAGTTCCTGCAAGAAGGCTTGTTCATTTTTAATTCCTAGCACTTGTCACAGTATATGTGGCCTCAGTAGTAGGCATTCTGTCATTGATTCTCCAACACCTAAAAGGCAGAAAAGACAAGGAAATACTTCTCTTTAGAGGTGTCAGATTTATGCATATACATGTATCTGTATATGCATAAAAGCAAAAGACTCTGTGGTTATTCTTTTTTTTTTTTTTTTAAGATTTATTTATTTATGCATACAAGAGCTAGGGTACAGGTGAGAGGATTTACCAGAGACAGAGCAGAACAGGCAGAACGACTGAAATACACTGCTGAGGGGAGCAGTGGTCCAGACCGGAGATGTCTTTTACGCCGTGTGGGTATCTCCCTGGTGGGGGATTGAACTCACGCTGCAGTGGTTGTGGATAGCTTCATAGGTTGTGTCTTAACACCTTGCGCCACCAAGGAGGCCCTCTGTTAGTTACTTTATAGAACTAATTCCTTAAATTTATAAGTGGAAGTGCTAGAATCATATTGTTGTTCTTCCTTTTGTTACAGGTTAAAGGAGCTGGAAGTACGAAGATTGATGCGCTCGAGAGGCGATGGTCCCTGGTTTCAATATCCAACCATTGATAAAGCGCTTATTGATCATTCTTCAAAAGCATCTCCTGACAACTGATCTTTTATTTCTCCATATGCAAAGTGTATTCTCTTTAAAGGAAAAATAAACTGATAATTCTGTATTTTTACTTTGTGTGATGAATAAAAGATCCCCTTGCATTGCTCTATTTCTCAATATTGGCCCAGAATAAGGCTTTTATGAATGTGTGATTTCAGTCTTTTTTCAACTTCATTGAGGTATAGATGACAAAGTTATAAGATATTTAATGTGTATATCATGGTGATCTGATACATGTATCCATTGTGAAGAGCAATTAAGGATTTTAATTTGGGGTTTGCACTTACTCTTTTAAGAAAGTTTAAAATAGAGTTTAAAAAAACCTCAGTGAAGTAAGCATATGTGAACTCCTAAAGATAACTTTGAGAAGTTAATGACAGATGAAAATAAAGAAGTCTAATTTTGTTAAGTATCAGGAAGAGTAACAGTTTATACAAATGTCTATGGTGTAGGGCCTCCCCTGTGGCGCAGCGGTTGAGCGCTGGGTTGCGAAGCTGCCCGCAGCCTCTGCAGCGCCGGTTCGATTCCCGGCTGCTCCCCGGCCACCAGAGGAGGGTCCCACATGGTGCGCAGACCTCTCCTGCCGCCCGCTGCTCCCCTCAGCAGTGTACTTCGGTCCTTCTGCCTGCTCTGCTCCCTGCTCTGGCTCTGGTGAATTCTCTCACCCTCCCGCGCTTCTGACTGTACCCAGTGCATGTATAAACAAAACAAACGAACAAACAAATAATAAAAACATGCCTCTATAAAAGAAAAAAAAAATGTCTATGGTGTAGACATCTGAATTATTTAGGGACAATTCAGGATTTTCAATTACAGAAATACTTCCCAACTATATAAAACATTAACACTTTGATAAAAAATATTTCAGCGTACAAGTCTCAACATGTAATCTCATGCTCTTAATCCTTTAAAATATACTCGTGTATGTGTTTCTTAGATCACACTCACAGATTCCTTCGAGTTCTTTTTTGTGAACACTGGAGAGGTTGTCCCACAGGTAAATGATTACTGCATAGATTATGAAATGTGAGTAAAAGCTAAAGTAATGGCTGTTATTTACTAAGCATTCGGACTATTGAGCACTGTGCTAAATTGTTATTTTCACATCATTTTCAAAATGACCTTAAAATTACAATTTTATTCTTTTTTTCGGCCGGGTACCGAACCGGCGCTGCAGAGGCTGCGGGCAGCTTCGCAACCCAGCACTCAACCACTGCGCCACCAGGGAAGGCCCAAAATTACTATTTTAGAGATGAGACGTCTGAGGCTCAGAGATTTTAAACACACAAAATATTTACAAAACTAAACATTTAAAGCAATTATACTTCAATTTCCAAAATGACCTTTTAGCTTCAAGCATGTTTTCATGCCTGTAACAACCTATCAATCAATGCATTATCACTTTGAGAAGTACATTCTTATATTCTTCAGGAAAGAAGAAATGAATCCAGATTTCCTGAGACTTAAATCAATATATTATCTTCAAGGCTAAATGGAGAAATTGTTTTTTGACATCTTAAACTAAAGCTCATAGGCTGCTCATTAAACAAGTACCTTTTGAGTGCCTTTGACTATACAACTAAGGTCCTTTGGGGAGGTGGTAATTTTCTTGTTTCCCCAGGAGAGGGCAGCCTCACCCACTGCTCCCAGATTTTGTTCTGAAGTTTCCCTGTGCAATCTAATTACCACCTCATAATTCTGCCTAAGGGATTGGGGGACGGCATGCTGTCCCTAAAGGCTCTGCTTATCTGAACCATTTGATTTTGTAGGAGAAAGATAAATAGAACAGAAGCAGATAGGTGATGTAAGTGGTGACCATAAATGATGCTGTATTATGTACATTCATATTCATGTTTTTAAGAATTTTAGGTTATTTCTTGACATTAGTAGGTTTAATTTATTTTCTCCTTTCTACAATTATAAATGTAAGAAAAATATCAGCGAATATGAAAATTGTGCAGTAAATACTATCCCACCACCAATAAATTGAGAAATTTCCTTCAGTCTTGGTTTGTTTTTTGTTATTGTTTTTGCATTTTTATTCATTTTTTATGTATTTTTTAACATCATTGTTCATTTTTAAACAATGTTTGCTTTCCCCTCCCCCCTCAGGTGTAGTCCCCATAGAATTTCCTTCACTAATGCACCCGTGCACCATCACCACAGTCCCCTGTGCTCCTCCCTCCCTCCCTCTGATCCCTCTCCCTCCTCCCCTGCAGGATGTCTCTGATTTATAATTGTTCATTTTTGTTACGTTATTATTTTCCCCCTAATGTCTTATTTTGTTCCCCTATATTCCTCCTATAAGTGAAACCCTCCAATATTTTTCTTTTTCCTTCTGACTTATTTCACTGAGCATAATTCCTTCTAGCTTCATTCATGTTGCTGCAAATGGCATAAGTCTGTCTTTTTTGATTACTGAATAATATTCCATTGTGTATATATACCATATCTTGACCCAGTCATCTATTTTTGCGCATTTGGTTTGTTTCAAAGTTTTACCTATTATAAATAGTGCTGCAATAAACATAGGGGTACAGGTATTTTTTGTGTGTGGGACCCTCGCTGGTGGCCGGGGATCGAACTGGCGCTGCAGAGGCGCAGCCTCGCAACCCAGCCTCGCAACCCAGCACTCAACTGCTGTGCCACCAGGGGAGGCCCTACAGGTATTTTTTTGAATCAATGTTTTTGTGTCCTTCGGGTAGATCCCTAGAAGTGAATTGCTGGGTCAAAAGGTAACTCCATTTTTAGTAGACTGAGGAACCTCTTGGTTTGTTTTTTAACATAGCTGGGACTATACATATTAAATGGATGGATTTTGTTTTAAGTTTGAGAGTGTTTTGTAGAGGGAAAAGTGGCGTTTCCCCTCATATCATTGGACTTTAATATGACTGCTAATTGCATAGGGGCTACTTTCCCAAATTTATGAGTTTCACATGAATTTAGTTACATTTTTGGTGCTAGGGTTCTAATCAAAGACTCCTATAAAGAGATCAAGAGCTTATGTTCAACATTGCTTATCATTAGGAAAGTGCAAATCAAAACCACTGAGATTTCACCTCACACAAGTTAGAATGACTATTGCCAAAAAAGTATAATTATAAGTGCTGGTAAGAACGTAGAGAAAAGGTAATCCGACAACTGATCTTTAGTGCACTGTTAGTGGGACTATAAATGGGTGCAGCCATCATAGAAAAGAGTATGGAGATTCCTCAGAAAATTAAAAATAGAACTACCATATAATCCAGTAATCCTACTTCCTGGTATTTACCCAAAGAATAGGAAAAGACTCCTTTAAAAAGATACGCGCACCCTTATGATTGTGGCAACACTATTCACAATATCAAGATACAGAAATAATTCAAGTGCCCTACAAGGGATGAATGGATAAAGGAGATGTGGTACATATACACAATGGAATACTACTCAGAGATCAAAAAAAGAAAAGCTAATGCCATTTGCAGCAACTTGAATCTTGAAAGGATAATGTTATATGTCATAGATGTTGCACTAGGAACTTAATATTTACTCTTCCTTCCTACCCTGTACTGAAAAAGTTCCTTCATTTCTTTGAGCTTTATCTTGAAAAGTGGAATTATGCTCTTCATCTCCCGGTAATATTTTAAAAATTACTGGGGAAACATTTGTAAAGTATGTAAGGCTTACAACACAATAAGTACTAGGTGGTAAAAACCTGTGTGTGAACTAAAACTGAAACACTGTCCGTTTTTCAAGAAAATGACTAGATATCCCATAATATCTCTGCTTCAGGTCTACTGACTTCATAGAGTAATGGAATTACAGGTAGATTAGGGCCAAGCATCAGTGTTCTTAGAACTACATCTAACTCACGGAAAAAGTCAAATGTACCAAACTGTGCAGTGTAAATTAACTATTCTATTCTTGTTAGAAAGAAAATCACAAGGGTTAGCAGCAAATTCCCTGAGCTCAATCTCTTTATATCACTGTTCCTCAAATCTCAGCTCTCTTGATTGCAGCTGTCTCTATTTTTGCCTCCACATATGACATATAAATAATATTTTCTTTCTACAGATTGAATTGGCCATATTAAGTAATTCATGAATCCGTAAACTCATCTTGACAGCATTCCCTCTGGCAAACAGAAAGGTATTCCAAAGGCTTGCGCAAAATGGAGGGGTTTTATAGACAGAAGGGAGCAAGACAAAGTATTAGCAAAACAAAGATTATTTCGGATAAAGAGGCTTTTACCAGAGGGGCAGGGAGCCTTCAGCAGATTACTCCTGGCGCAGATCAGGAAACTCCAGGTTGATTCGTTTAAGATCATACTTTTGGGGAAGATTGAAACTGCGATTAGAATAGGTACTAGGGCCTCCCCGGTGGTGCAGCGGTAGAGCGCTGGGTTGCAAAGCTGCCCGCGGCCTCTGCGGCGCCGGTTCAATCCCCGGCTGCTCCCCGGCCACTGGAGGAGGGTCCCACATGGCGTGCAGACCTCTCCTGCCGCCCGCTGCTCCCCTCAGCAGTGTGCTTCGGTCCTTCTGCCTGCTCTGCTCCCCGCTCTGGCTCTGGTGAATTCTCTCACCCTCCCGCGCTTCTGACTGTACCCAGTGCATGTATAAACAAAACAAACAAATAAATAAATAAATAAAACATGCCTCTATTTAAAAAAAAAAAAAAAAAAATAGAATAGGTACTAAATCTCAGTGAGGAACTCCCCTGAGGCGCAGCAGTTGAGCGCTGGGCTGCGAAGCTGCCCGCAGCCTCTGCAGCACCGGTTCGATCCCCGGCTGCCAGCGAGGGTCCCACAGACCTCTCCTGCCGTGCCCGCTGCTCCCCTCAGCAGTGTCCTCTGTCTGGCTGGCTGTTCTCTTCCCCACTCTGTCTCTGGTGAATTCTCTCACCCTCCCGCGCTTCTGACTGTACCCAGTGCTTGTAAAAATAAATACATAAATACATAAATAAATCTCGGTGAGAGTCCAGCATGAGCCACTCCCTTTAGGACCCAGTTTTGTAACACTGCCCCTCTCAAGAAATTCCTCTCTTGATCACACTCTTAGCCTGAGAGTTTTGATCAAAATTTAAGTATCAGCACCATTCCCAGGTACTACTTTTCACAGTTTTCTTTCTTTTTTAAAGATTTATTTATTTATGCATACAAGAACTGGGGTACAAGCCAGAGGTTCTGGAGGTGGGGGAATGAGAGGATTCACCAGAGACAGAGTGGGGAGCAGAACAGGCAGATCTACTGAAGTACACTTGTAAGGGGAGTA